CATGAGGGAGGGGGGAGCAGGGAGGGGAAAAAATGAAGAGCTGACCGCCAGGGGCTTAAGTAGAGAGCAAATGTTTTAAGGATGATGAGGGCAATGAATGTACAAATGTGCTTTACACACTTGATGTATGTATGGATTGTGATAGGAGTTGTATGAGCCCCTTTAATAAAATTATTTAAAAAAAAAGAGTTAGTCTTGGAAACTCACAGGAGCCAGTCTAGCCTGTGCTGTAGGGTTGCTATGAGCAAGACGGACGTGGTGACGGGGGTTTACTGACATAGTCACACAATACAATAACACAGTGTTGTTCTTTATGGTAACAACAACCCCCCCCCCAATTAGCTAAAATCTAGAAGAGCAAGTGTGGGGAGGGTTTCTCCATCACAAGGAGTGACACTGAGGTGTAAGCGTCACAGGAACGCCTTGAACAAGTAGAAAAGTCGTACGAGTATGTTCAGGTACGTCCTGTTTCAACGATCTTCAAAAGGACCTCATTTCCCCTGAAGCGAAGATGACAGTTAATGGTGGTTCCTTCTGGGGAGTGGAACGAGAATGGAAACGAATTTTAAGAATATCCTGTTGTGTGAGTTTTTAATGAGGAGAATTCATAATTTTTACCATGAAATATAATTAGAAGTGAAATGGAGTTATTTATCTTCTGCCACAACCACGGGTTCCAGGAAACCTGAAAATGTGTTTGGCTCTGCGTTTTACTTTGGGGGCGGACACTGTTTGAACATCCTCAGTACAAGGTTGTTTTCGGGAAGTTAAACTTGTGAACGGGTGATTTAAAAAAAATAATACCACAGTGAGGCAAAATGGACGTTCATGAAAGTAAAACACACACACACACACACACACCCCACTACCCCCACCACCACCCCACCACCCCACCACCACCAAAACAACCAAAAACATATTTAAAAACGCCAGGGCGGCGCTTGGGCAGGCACAGGTCTGAATCGTCTAGCCATGCAGAGTCAGGCAGAGATTTTGGAAGAAGGTGACTTTACTTTTTCCAGATGTCTTGTTAAAAGATGCTGTCTCCCCTGGGCTCATTCTGCCTGGATTGTTGCCAAAAATGGACTTCCTGCTTTTCCTTTCTTTTCCTCGGCCAGAGCCAGAAGCATTCAAAGTTGACAGGCCTGTTCCCATAAAAATGAAAATAAATAAGCCCCACTACAAGCAGGGGAATGCAACATTTTCCACCCCGCTCATGTTTGTTTCTGAAGTCTTGTTGCTCCCAGAGACCCTCCCAGCCTTGGTAGTGTTTTAATGCCCATCCCGTGGGCAACTTGGACCAAGCCTCTTGTCTATAGGCAACAATGGCATGCGGTGAAAAGAGCAAGCTCGTTACAGAATGACCACAACGCCGTGTGGGCATCACAGCTACTCTTTACCAGGAAGAATTGCTGTCAAAGTTTAATTACTCAGGGGCTAATTGCCCATTGAGGGACATGGGAGAATGGTTAGGCGCCTGAGCTTCAGGGTCAGGACTCTGAGTTCAAATCTTGCTCGTGTGAATTTTGACTCCTCATCAAACGGCTCTGTTCCTCAGTCTGCTTGCCTTCAAAGTGGGTGTACTGATAGGAACTCGAGCATGGGGCGGGTGTGAGGAGGGAGCAGGAACATCATGCTCATCACGATGTTTCAGGGCTTGTCTTTCAGGATCCTTTGAGCCTTGCCCACAGTAGGAACTTCACACGGATGTGTAGGAGGAGGAAATAAATATACAAGGGCATGCAAACGTGGCTCTGATGTAGAAAGAGTGATTTGAAGGCACTGGTAAGACTTCTCTCAGCTCCCAGGTGGCCTCCAAATCCTTCTCACTGCGCAGTCGCACCACTAGAGATGACTTCCTGGAGCTGAAGGAGCTCTCAGGAGGTCCTCTTTGAAAATCCTCTTACCAAGAACACCACCTTGGCAGCAGGATCGAGCAGGGTTAAGGAGCGGAGATTTGAGAATGGGACACACTTGGGTTTAAACCGTGTTCCTAAGCCTGGGGCCCTCACGTGAGTTCCTTAGTCTCTCCGAGCCACTCCTTCCTCTTCTGTAAAGGGGCTGTGGTCAGGACTAAAGGAGATCGTGTACGCACGTACTTCGGAGAGGGTCTTGTTCAGGGAAAGTGCTCAGACACTAGCAGATGTTAGGATTCAAGTTTCAGGTCGAACTGAAATATATTTTTTTCTTTTCTCTCACTCAAATGATGTAGTCTTGGACTGGTGTGTTCTCAAGTTTACTTTAAACATCTGTGTGAATCTGCTCGCCATGCGAGGAGGTAATGAAATAATGAATGGATTTTCTCTCAAGTCAAGCTGATGACGGGCCAGACTGAGACAACATGTTCATCCAAGGGTTTGCACATATCTGGGCACATACCAGCACACAGCACCCCCCACTCCCTGCCGCTGCCCCTGCTGGGGTTCCCTGTGTAAAGAACCTTGTGTTCTTGAGATATCTACACTCACTGAGTTGATTCTGACTCACAGAGACCCTTTAAAAGGGTTTCCAAGCCTGTAAATATTTATGGAAGCAAACAGCCTCATTTTTCTCCTAAGGAGCATCTGGTAGGTTTGAACTGCTGATCTTGTGGTTAGCAGTCCAGGGCTTATCCTAGAGTGCCGTCAGGGCTCCTTTGAGGGCAGCGGAAGAAGGCAAGAAAACGAGGTTGGGTGGTCAATAGAAAGGAAAGAACCCTGGGCGGAGGAAATGGGGTCTGGACAAGGTAGGAGCAAGAGAAATAGCCTGGATCTGCCCTCTTGTCCCTTCTTCTGACGACAGCAACAGGGCCAAGATTATAAAATTTCCCGAGAGCTACGTATTTTCTAGGTAATGTGTGAGTCACATTAGATACTTTATCACTGACCTTTACAACAGCCCAAGACTGCACTGTTCCTCCCCTGTCACATATTATGTGCCCCGAGGGGCAGAGAAGTACATAACTGCTCAAAGCCAAGGTCACTACATGGTGGGGTGGCATTTAAACCTCCATGGCGGTCTGATGGCTGCCTCTCTCTCTCAGCTGTGTCTGTCTCTCCAACTAATTTTCCCGTCTTTCAGCCTCTCGGTGTTTTTCCTGCGACTGTGAATGAGAATGCTTCTGGTTTAGACATCGATGCTGGGATGCCTGATGGGTAGCTGAGCTTTGAGAGAGACGTTCTGTGGGATTCTGCTTGCAGGAGCCCGATAGGTATTTATGAAGCAATTTACCAGAAAATGCGAAGTTTCATCTCTCTTTAGAAATCCTGATTTTTCTGTGGGCGTTAAAACCAACCACCTAACTAATTTGTTAGCAACACAAGATCTTGATCCCATTTTTGGGGGGACAGCGTTAGAACTGGTGCCTAAAAATACGCCTCTTGGGATCCAGAACCTGAGTTCAGATCATTTTGACAACAAGAGAGTTGGCATTTTAATTCCCCTCTTTAGGACACATTTGTATGCTCTATTGATGAACATTCAGACTGGAGTTCCAGCCCACCTGTCATCCTGTCCTAAGATGTCTTGTGTAAGGAAATCCTTTATTATCGGAGGGCTGAATTTTTCTGATCGTCATCTGTTGTAGACAGTAGTGGTTGCCCTCTACCTCCTGATTCTCACCCCCCCCTTCCCATGGAAACACAGAAATGAGTTGGCTCAGGAACACACTCTTGCAGTGAGACAGGGCTGTGTATTGATGAAAGGCAGGGCTTTGGAGTCAGATAGGCTTCAGGGTCATGATTCTACCTTCTATTAACTAGATGAACATAATAAGTTCACTGTACTTGTATAAATGGCCCAATGTGGGATACTCTCTTTTGCATGGAACTCTCAGCCTTAGGTGGAACCTGGCTGTCAAGCTCAGAAATGGGACCCACGACTTACACTCCAGCCCATCAGAGAACTGCCACTCCCCCCAACCCCGATACGTTTATTGCCTTTTTTGGGGAAACATTTATTGTTTCAGGGATGGGCAAAGGACTCAGTGAGAAATGGTGACACCACCACTGGAAGGTCTGGAAAAAAGACTGCAGGTAGTGCCAGCTTGCTGGAGTCAGCTGGGAACCGCCAAGGGAATGGAGCCAACACAGTGGAGCCAGAGTGAGAAATGCGGGGAGAGAAAGAATGCTCCCTGGGGCATGCTGGACCTGAAACCTGACATCCTTCTTTTTTGATACAGGAGCCAATAAATATATTGCTCTCTCTACTTAAGCCAAGTTTCGCTGCTTTCAAACAAAAGGTTTTTAATGGATACATTCTAAGACTTTGGGTAAATAAATGACTTCTCTCCAAGACTTCTTTTTAATGAAGACTGTGATCATACTATCCACCTCATTAATGACTATGAATGCTCAATAAGATCATGTACATAAAGAACTTAGCACACATTTGGAGACTTACATAGTTAAAAGCTTTTTGCTATGAAGCATTATTGTCGCTCTTACTATTGGCTCTCATGAAAAGCTAACCTGTGCTCTGAACAACGGACAGCGGGCGGTAGTTTCCCTATGAGCGGCACCACAAAGAACAATACCAATCAACATTTAGAAACTAGCCTAACAATGGTTACAGCAACACAGCTGGGCTATTTTGAGAGCATTCACCAAAATGGCATATTTTTTAACCTTGCATTATCTTCTGTGTTACAGAAGAGATCATCTATTCTTACCTGGAAATTTTACTGCTTGGCAGTAGATGACAAGGTCCGAAAGCTCTGGTTCAATCTGCCTGCTTTCCTTCTTATTCTGAGGAAGATAAAATTCTTCCCCCAGCTCCATGTCATAAACCTACCAAAGGGAAGAAGGATTGTTCTCTGTAGCAAGTCGATGCACTCACCTCAAAGCTCTTCCTAAGCCGCCTCTCTCTCACGTCACCATTAGGGTCAACCTTGCTTTATGCCGATCCATATCAATTTTCTAAGGTCTTCACTAAACCATCCCGTGGGCTGGGGCATCGAAGGGATGGTGAAGGGAAGGGAGAGGGAGGGTGTGGGAATCCCACCTGAAACTGACTAGAGTCCCGTGATCCAAGGTTAACGCCCCAGACACCCTCCACGCACCTTCCCTTTGCTGCAGGCAGCGCTGTCTGCTTTCTTTATCCTCTTGGGGAGCTCTTCGTTATACTCGAACTGAAGCTTGTCACTGCAGGACTTATTCTCAGGTCGGTCTTCCAGAATATTGTCTGAAAAGGAGTTGGCAGGCTCAACAACCAAGAACTGAATGCTTCGCTCAACAGCTAAAAGTCTGCATCCCAAGCAGGGATCCCTGACCCCCATATTTGTGCTTCTTGGCCAGGCGGAGCCTCTGGCTACATGTTACCAACAGGATGGCTGGAACGTTCCTTCTGATGGACTTGGCCAATGTTACTAGGGTGGTTTGGATAGCACATTCGATATAATCTACGTGAGCAAGAGCCTTTCGCACACAGGTGATCGCAACAGTGCAAAACGAGACCCCGGGGAAGAAGCTGACAGCCCACATGTGTGGGAAGGACCTAGTGGCTGAAGCACTTTTGGGAGAGCAAACTCAACCAACCTCTCTGCCGTCAAGTCACCTCCAGCTCTGAGCGACCCTCACAGGACAGCACAGAACTGTCCCTGGGGGGATCGGAGCCTAGAAGTATCTATGGGAGTACAAAGACTCTTGGAGAGTGATCGGTCGGTGGGCTTGAACCTCCGACCTTGAGGCCAATGTGTAACCCACTATGCCACCAGCACTCTTTTCAAGAAATACACGCATGATTGACTCACTTTCACTTTGAACTCCTTGTAGTTTCTTTTCCCATGTCACATGGGGTGGTGTTCGGGGAGGGCTAGTTATTTGCAGTGCAAATAATATGCAATGCAAACAACAGCATCTTTGAATGGGTTTCGCACTGCCGGCCTTTCAGTTAGCAGCCGAGTGCTTTAACCACTGCGCCACAGGGCTCCTTCCAAGTTTTCACAAGTAAAAGTCATTGGAGAGTAACATTTTCATGGTTGATGATGAATTTGACATGTGATAATCTAGCAGATAGGGATGAAGAGATATCTAAAACATGGCAGATAACCATATACCTGTGCCCTTTTTGCAGTATGTCTACTCCAGGCAACTCTAAACGTGTTAAGGAGAGCCCATGATTACGCTCTTTGCAAACGGAAAGACAAGAACACCAATGTCTCACCCACGGCGTACTATGTCGCCAAAGCCCCAAATGCTTAGACCAAAATATTCTTATACCACATCAGAGCCATGCAGATTGCCAACATGTCAACGCGAGCAACCGTCTCATGACATTTTTCTTCACATAAGTGTCACCACTTCATGCTATCAGGCCTAAGGCACTGGACACAGAATGCTGACATCCATGCAGTTAAAGTGCCGGCTGGAATGGCGTTTACCTTCCTGACTGTTAGGAGCAGGAGAAGCAGTAAGGCCATCTGCTACAGAAAAACAGAATCAGAAAGTGGGTAAAGGTAAGGAGAATCAAGTCAAAAAAGCCAAGTAATGTAGTCCAAGGCTGGAGGCAAAGCTCACAAGTGCAAACAGCTTCTGCTACAAGGTAAGTGCAACAAGAACCCATCTACGGATTTGCTCTTCGGACAAAATAGACGCAATACTAGCATGAAAAACCAGTGCAAACGCTGTTAAGGAGAGTCATGCTGAAAGCTACTACCGACTCAGACTCCCAACCAGTCTGTTTCAAATGTCTAGGAATGAGTTGATAGGTTAGCTTCAAGCCGACCGCTAGGGCAATAGATTATGTCTGTGTTTAGGAGGAAATGAAAATTGGTGCTTTCTGAACTGGTGCTCAAAGCGGACAAGGTAAAACAGCAATGTTCAGAGAAAAGACGAATCTGAGTTCACTTAGCTAAATTCAGTTAAATATATATTAAGGCTTTATGATCCAAAAGGCATAGTGGTTCCAGAACTATAGGAGCCTTGTTTGTAATGCCCTTAGGGTCTTCTCCTTTAAAAAAAAATCATTTTATTGGGGGCTCTTACAGCTTTTATAACATTGCATACATCAATTGTATCAAGCACATTTGTACATTGGTTGCCATCATCATTTTCTAAACATTTACTTTCTATTTCAGCTCTTGGTATCAGCTCCTCTGTTTTCTCTCTCTCCCCCAAGCTCCTACCCTCATGACCCCTTGATACATTATAAATTATTATTTTCATATCTTACACTGACCGCTGTCTACCTTCACCCACATTTCTGTTGTTCATCCCCTTTGGTGGGGGGTGGTGTTTATATGTCCGTCATTTGATGCCCCTCACCCCCACCCCCGTTCTCCCCTCCTTCCCCCTATTGTCCTGGTATCTATACTCCCTTTTCTCTTCCTGAGGGTTTTTCTGACCTGGATTCTGTGTGTCGTGACCTCTTATCTGTACCAGAGGACATGCTCTGGTCTAGGCAGAACTGAATGGCAGGACTGGGGTCATGATAGCGGTGTGTGTGTGTGTGTGTGTGTGTGTGTAAGGAAGCCTCAAAGAACCAGAGGAACATTGTGTTTAATCGGTGCTAGACTGTGCCCTGGTTGACTCATCCCTTCCTTGAGACCCTTCTGTGAGGAGATGTCCTATTATCTACAGATTGGTTTGGGGTCTCTGCTCTGACCCCTCTTGTTCTCAACAATATGGTTTTTTTGTTTTGGGTCTTCTGGTGCCCGTTACCTGATCCTGTCGACACCTCATGATCGTAAAGGCTGGTGCGCTTCTTCCACGTGTGCTCGTTGCTTCTCTGCTAGATGGCTACTTGTTTAACTTCCAGCCTTTAAGACCCCAAATGCTATATCATTGGATAGTCGGGCACCATCAGCTTTCTTCATCACATTTGCTTGTGAACCCTTTTTGTCTTCAGCAATCGTGTCAGGAGGATGAGCATCACAGAATGCCAGGTTGCTAGAACAAAGTGCTCTTGCATTGAGGGAGACCTTGAGCAGAGGCCCAAAGTCCATCTACTTCCCCAATGTAATGCCATATAAAGATATGTACATAGGCTAATACCTCTATTTTTATGAATTAATATATTTATATAAGTGCTCAGCTCTGTTTATACTTGTCCATAGCTTTGCTTCTTAGATCTTTACTGTTTCCTTTTACCTTCCACCTGCCCCATCATCATGCTTGCCCATCTTCTGCCTCTTAGTAATTCCTCTTAGTTAGATTGCTGGTACCCCAACAGCACCAAGATCTCTATGTCCTCTTAATTGTTGCTTTTAATTCCCTAGTTGTTCCCTTGTCTATGGTGTTGTTTGCTCACCGCTCCTTCCCCCTGCCTCCCCCTCCCCCCAGGTCCCTCCAGAACCTTCCGTCCTGTCGCTTTCTCCTCCGGCTTGCTTCCCATGCTTATCTTATATAGGTCAGCAAAACAACAGAAACAGAGACCAAACAAAAGGAAAATAAAACATTGAATAAAAAGAAAACAAACAAAAAGATTAAAAGAGGAAAAACCTAGCAATTCCCCCAGCCCCCCACAAAACAAAACAAAAACAAAACTTAAAAGCATACATAATTCCATGTCTGTCCAATGACCTTTATGACAATCGCCCCACAGGTCCTGAGAGGTCCCGGGAACTGCCCCTCCTAGCCTGAAGTCTATTTTGGGGGCTCCTCAGGGGTTTTGTGGCTTGGCTTTGCTCCTGTTGCTGATCTGTTATGTTCCCTTCTTGGTTTGCCCCACTGGGGGCCAGTCAGGCCAGACACACTCCCCACTGTGTGTCCCCAGTATTGTCCTCTATGGCTGTATGCTCCAGGGAAGGGACGCCATGTCCTGAGCTGTTGTTGGCCCTACAGTCCTCTGTGCCTTAGCGGCTCCGTGCAGGGATGCCATCCTCAGGGCTTGGTGTGCCGATATGGGGTCTAGTCCCTCACCCTCTTCTTCCTTCTTGGTCTGCTTCTGTGTGGGTGTGGCAGGCCGGCCCCTCTTCCCAACCTGTAGGTTTAGTGCTGTCCTCTGTAGCACATACTCGAGGGGGTGGAGTAGGGTGGTGGTGGAGAGTTTGGCTCTGATTGGGGCTTAGGGTCTTCTTGATGTAACTTTGTGGTCAGATCAAAAAGGGCTGTCGATGAATTCCCTTATAGACATATGCACTGAAGACCATGACATAGATAACCGACCACCCTCTGACAGGGTCTTGGCCTGGGATGCCTACAAGGGTCTCAGGAAGCCTAGGAACTCCTGCAAATTTTTGCAGAGAATTTGGGGAACACATGTATTTCTTGGGGGAGACTGGCCGCAGCTTCCATCTGATCCTCAAAGGGACACAACATGCTAGGACGTTTAGAAACCACTGAGGTGCCCCGGAGAATCTGTCCGTGGCGTGTCCAGGTGTGCGGGGTGATGACTGGTCTCATTTCAGCAGGAGGCGGGGAGACAACAGAGAGAAACCCAGAGGCACCACCAGTCATAGTGGGCATTATCTTTAACAGGAGCGTAAGGAAGCCTCTGAGGGACAAACGAAAGGCTTATTTGGGAACTCGGGTCAGAGGACCCTTTAAAAGGAATGGGAAATACTCATGTGGTGACCAGGGGCTTAGTCATCCAGGAGCCCCGTGTTAGCGCTGGAGAAAAGAAGGACTTCGGCAAACACCGAGCGGATCCCTTTCACGGCCCATCTGAGGGACCTGAGCCCAGAAAGGCAGGAAGGCATTGCCTGTGGTCTCAGCTCACAGGACAGATAGAGCCTGGTGGTGGTCGCGTCCACGGTGCACAATCTCATCTATTTAATGCCCCGCCCTGCTCCACATACATACACGCAGATTTAAAACAGCACGCAACAGTTAAAAATTGAGGAGCTAGGGTAAATTCTACTCTCTCAAGTAAAAACAAACTGGGGGGGGGGATCCCCCAGTATTTGTTCACTTATCTGTTACTCTTAATAGTCCAAAACATCTGTAATGATAATTTTTAGAGCCTCCTCCTTTCCTGCTTTCCAAGACACAGAGAAAGCATGTGAGTGCTTCACGACAGACAGTGAATTTAGCTAGTCCGGTGGGTAAATGGCATTTGGATTGGTTGGTTTCTTAAGCGTGGTTTCTAAATGAAAAATTTTGTTCTTGCCTGGGGGGACCACACCATAACTATAGTAGAGATTCAGGGACAAGAATACATCAGTATAAAAATGTTTTACTTTACCATAACTTTTCAGGAATACATTCAAAGAAATGATCTCGCTTCCCTCTAATTTTCTTCCTTTTCACACCCCTCCGTGAGCATAGAAGACCCACCCTCTGCCCTGGAGCCAACACTGACCCAAAGAGACCTCCTGCAAGGTGTCTGGGGGTGTCAGTCTTTACAGGAGCAGTGGCCTCATCTTTCTCCTGAGAAGAAGCTGGTGTGTTTGAACCACCGACGTGACAGTTAGCTGTTCCACACTTTTCCAGCATCGCCACCAGAGTGTATGCCTCTGGCTTTGAATGATGTGATCGGGTTTCAGGTGAAGGAAACTGGCTTTTCATTGAAGGCACGAAGCAATCAACACTTACTAGAGGCAGCTACTAATGAACACGGTCTGGTATTGTATTTGGGGGTATGGTAGAGGACAGGGGCCAGCCTGTGACTGCTGGTCATGACAGGTACGTGAGATCCAAATGGGACCAGAAGACAGCCCTGGATTGCAAGAAGCAGATATCTGGTGTAGGTAGAGTGGCGTGGCTGTGCATAGTTGCTGGCCAGGGCATACCTGCATTTTTAGCCAAATAATACTTCTATATAGAAACTATACCATTTTACGTATATAACAGGATATAAATAGGAGCCTCGGCATTTTATCATGACTACATTGCTGTCTTTCAGAAGGTGCCAAATTTGAAGTCAACCATCAAGAACAGTATCTGAGAAAACACTTTAGGGTCAGCCCTGCAAGGGACATTGGTTTAGTGCAGAAGCAACACCCTTGAAGCCTAATTCAAAGGTAAGAAGAGCCCTTCCCTTGTTGTCTGTACTTAGGACAATTGGGCCATTAGTCAGCACCCCCACAGTGCTTCATTGGGGGGCCAGGGGGAGGGAGCAGGACTAAGCAACTAACTGGTCTCCTTGGTCTAATAACGGGAGAAAGAGAGAGGGAGGAGGGAAGTGAAGCTTCTTTCTTTCCTGGCCCCTAGAGAGTCACCCTGCCAAGTAGTGAAAGGAGTGGAGCAGGAGTACAGCAGTGTGACACTGACGCCTGCAGGCGGGACAGGAGAGAACGACAATTCAGCCAGTCTCGCCGCAATCCCACCTCTTCTTCGTAGTAACCCCATTTTAAGAATGACTCTGGGGGAGAAAAGAGGAGCTGATACCAAGGGCTCAATTGGAAAGTAAATATCTATAAAATAATGATGGCAACCAATGTACAAATGTGCTTGAGACAACTGATGTGTGGATTGTTATAAGAGCTGTAAGAGCCCCCGATAAAATGATTAAAAAAAAAAAAAAGACTGGCTCTGATGTTACTTCCCACACCCCCTCCCCTGCGTTCCCTGAGTGGAGGCTGCAGGGCCAGCAGCACCACGCTTGGTTGCTTGGTCCTCGAGTTGTGACTGGACTGTATTACATCCAGTTATATCTTTGGGACTCCAGACTTCTTTAGGGAAAGAGAGCCCACACCAAATCCACAAAGCAGCTCAGCCAGGCACGTGTCCTCCTGCGGCATGGCACGGGTCTCTTACCATCAGACAGGGATTCATAGTCGTAATCATATTCATCCTCTTCATCCTCCTCTTCTTCATTGGTGGCCGGGGTCGGGTTGGCAGGTCCACCAGTGGAGGCCTGAGCCTGCAAGGAGGCTAACTGATGAGCCTGAAAAACAGCAAGGTAAACGACTACAGCTGCCGAGCTTCTGACTTTCCCTGCGTGGCTTTCACAACTGCCTTCTGACGCTCTCTCACAGGCACTTCCAGAGAGGTGGCCGATTCCAAGTCACTCGTCAGGAGGAAAAAGAAAATCTAGATTCATTTGAAATGCAACAGCAAGACATGGGCCTATGTCCCCATTCCTAGAGGAGGCATGGGGAGCCATTAGAAGCAGCCCTAGGGGGTCTGGGGGCGGTACTCTGCCACCCAGGATACCGGGCAAGCTTCCGGGAGAAGCAGCATCAATCCCGAAGGGCTGAAGAGGTGCAGCAGCCCATCCGTTTTGGAAAAGTGAGTCTCTGCTAGGAAATCATGGCCCTCATCTTCTTACAACAACAGTGCAAGGGCCTCTGACCTTGAGAAAATGCTAGAATCCCTCTGGACAAAGAGGACTGTTGTTGGTTTAAATAAAGTTTTTGTTTTCTTCAACAGACTTTATCTGAACCATAAATCAGATGAACGAAAACAGGCTTAGAAACTTTGGGAAACTGGAATGTTTGCTGCCACGGAGGTCATGGGCCTCTATGTCCCACTGGAATGACTGGGAGGTGATATCATACGTTATGAGTCAGCAAGGGTCTGGGGATGTGATTTATCTACTCTGGGAATTCAGCACAAAGACATCATCCAAAATATAGCCACTCGCATGAACTGAAAACAGGAAGCAACCTCAAAGCCCAGCAACAGAGGAGAGGAGTCAGTCAATTGTGGCAGGGTTCTGTGAGAAGGAGACATGGGAAAAAAAACTCGTGACTTATCTTTCTTGAACAGGGGATTCAGAATTGTGTAGGCATTTACATATGTAAACACATATCCTATATACATGTCTATATGCTTATGTAAATATTTTCAGTGTATACATATAAATGATATGCTTAAAAGATTAGATAGTAAAATATTAATAGAGCAGGGATTCTTGATCTTTTTTAATGTCATGGGCCTGTCTTCCCTTTAGCAGCGTGTGGCGGTCAGATACCTTCTCTGAAGGACGTTTTAAATGCATGACACAAAATAAAAAGGACAAAGGAAAAAAAATTGAAGATAGTTATCAACCATAAAAAAGCAAACTAGTGACATAAGAATGTAGGTGATCCTTTATTGCCGTGACCATAAGTAATTCTTGGGAGATAACAAGAAACAACTGTCTGTTACATGAGAAATCTGTGGTTTCTATCGGAGACCAAGGTACAGGTTCTGACAGCATGGCTGTGAGGTCTATTGCCTGTATTGATAATGGGAAGAAAGGCTTACTTATAGCCAGAGGTTAGTGAAAATAATGATGGAAATTGTTTCCATGGAGCCCTGAATTTTACCTGGGGACCTGAGGTTAAGCGCCCCTGTAATTCACCTTGTGTTTGACCTTGGCATGATATATGCTTTAAAATAATCTTCTTTTCCCTAAGTTTTCTGAAATATGGTTATGCTACCTTTATAATAAATACACATGCTTAAGAAAGATACAATTTAGCTTGCGTCTCTAGTGACAAAATATCTTTTACAATCCAGTCCATTCCCGTTAACTGGGATCTCGTGGGAATTTTCCAAAGTGGATTTTTTTCTGCAACCCTAGCAGCAGGGGTGGGGCATCACAATCTGAGAGAGAAAACCCTGACAAAGACAACAAGAAACACAGTGAAACAGGAAAACCGCAGCACAAAGGAACGAAGCCCATTGCTACTACAGCGTTTGGCAGGCTTTCCGCTGCATGTGCTAAACAGCATCTCAGTTCTTCAAAGCAGACCTCCAGAGCGGCACTCCTCACACTTAGTTAACCAGGGAATGGTCCTCCTTCTCTTTCCTCAGATGTCTCACCACATCTGCATCCTTCACAAGTTTGGGAAATCTGATTGGGGACAAGGGAGCCACAAAAGTAAGCCCACTGGTTGTGAATAAGAGAAGGGCCATGGCGGAGTAAGCATTCAAGGTTGAGCCAAGTGCTGGGAAGGATGATTCAAAAAGCCTGGTACACACTGACCCTCTGGCAGAAAAGTGTGGGAACGATGTAAGAGGAAGGATGCCATCCAGAGAGCGATGGACTGGCAATGTCAGCAAGCAAGCGTGCCAAGGTCCCTGAGATGTTCGAATGCTCCTTCAAGTGTATTTCCCGATACTTTCAGTAGGTGAGCTTGGGAGAGGCAGTTAAACTGACAGCCAAGTGCTGACACACGTATTCCCAGCATGGCCACAAAATGTTTATCAATATCCTACTTATTCTGGGGCAGAAACTTAGGACCCAGCCTTCGGAGGAAAGCCATCCAGCTATAGGTCAGGGGGTCAGATGAGAAGACTGGTTCTGATGTGTCCACCAGCCTCTAGCACAGTGTCTGGTACATAGTATGAACTGTTTGAGTCTTTGGGGTTGGGGTTCAGGTCATCCTGGTCAGAATCCTGGAGCATTCTGAGGGGATGCAGGTAGAGGCCTCAGCACAAGGTGGAAGGCTTCACCAATCTCAGTCAGAGACAGGCCATTCCTGCTGGAGGTGAGTCCTTCGTAAGGGACTGTCCTAGGCCTCCTGTTAGAGGTTGGGGCTGAGCTGACAGGACCTCTAGACATTCAGTCAGCCGAGTGAGAGATCAAACAGAACAATTGCGAGGCTGGCACAGGACCGGGCAGGGTTTTGTTCTGCTGTGCATAGGGTCGCTGTGAGTCAGAACCAACTTGACGGCACACAACAACAACAACAACAACTGTGAGGTCAGAACGCAAATGTCACTGAGATCAATGTGAGGCTCCTGAACATCAAATGTTACCTTGAATGGTAAACATGCCAAGACAGAGAGGTCAGGGATGAAAACAGTTCATGTGAAAACCACTGGGCTCGTTTTGTTTTTCGCAAGCTCAACTGGATCCTAATAAAGTCTTGAAAATGCAAAAGCACACTGAGGAAGAAGACCAGAGTAGGAGGCCTCATATCATATCCCAGGTCGAACAACCTGCTTAGGACAGTCCAAACAGCCTAGTACTGGAACAGTGATAGTTACAGAGACCAAATGCAACAGACGCGAGAACCCACTTATGGACGGCCGCTCTTTGACAAAGCGCAGAAACCCATCTCTTTAATACATGGTGTTGGGAAACATTGAACCTCCATTGGCAGAAAAATGAAACAGGATCAATATTTCACACGAAAAAGTAACTCAAGATGGACCAAAGACCTAAAACTATAAAGACCATCAAGGAAAATACAGGAACAAACTTAGGGGCTTCAATGCGTGGCATCAATGCACTATCAAATATAACTAAAAATGTACAAATATCGAAAGACGTACTGGATGACTGGAGCCCCCTGAAAATTAAACACTTAAGTGCATCAAGAGATTTCACCAAGTGAGTAAAAAGAGAACCCGCAGAATGAGAAAATATTTTAGCAACAATGTATCTGACAAGCAATTAATCTCTAAAATTTATAGAAAACTTGAACATCTCTACCACAAAAGGACAAAGAATACTATTAAATAATTGACAGAGGACTTGAACAGACACTTCATCAAAGAAGACATTCATGCAGCAAACCAACACATAAAAAATTCTTGTGATTATTAGCGATTAGAGAGAGGAAAATCAAAAGTGCTGTGAGTTATCGTCTCAGCCCAACAAAATTGAAAACAGAACAAAACAAATCAGAAATCAACAAATGCTGACCAGGGTGTGGAGAGACTGGGACCTTCATACACTACTGGTGGGGCTGTGAGGTGGTAGAGCCACAGTGCAAAACAGTATGATGCTTCCTTAAAAAGCTGAAAACAGAAATTCTATATGCTCCAACAACCCCAATACATGCTAGAGAGAAAGAGTTGTGATACAAACAGATGCACACTCATGTTCATTCTAACATTATTTACATTACAAAAAGATGGAAACAGCCTATCAACAAATGAATGGATTTACAGTGCATAGTACATACACCCAATGGAATACTATGCAACGTTAAAAAATAATGATGAATCTTCAAGATACCTCATCACATGGATGAACTTCCATGGAGTGAAATGAGTTGATCACAAATGCGGCACGAGACCATTATTGCAAAAAGGCAAGACCGGTCTACACCCTGAGATATTGTTGGAGGTTTACTAGGGTGGCGGGGAATCACTGATCAGACGGTAGAACGAAAACTCATCATCAGTGAGTCGATTCCAGTGAGCTGATAGGACAGAGGAGAACCGCCCTTTGAGTTCCTGATGCTTTAAATCTTTATAGGAGTCTTTCTCCTGAGAGCAGCTGGTGGATGTGAACTGGGGTTAGCAGTCCATCGTGTAACCCACTCCCCCACCAGGGTCAACACTCTGCTTGAGTCGACCCCACTCTATGATCACGCAGAACAGAACAAAACCACTCCATAGGGTTTGGGAGACTGGGGCAGATCGCCTCATTTTCCTCTTCACGGAGTACTTGGTAGGTTTGAACTGCCCACCTTGTGGTTAGCATACCCACTCAGACCCCACTGTGCCACCAGGGCTTCTTAACATGAGTGAAGGGGAAGGGAAAAGATAATAAAGGAGAAGTCAGCACAAAATGATCAAGGCAGAGGAAGAGCACAGGAGTTAAAGGCAACAGCAGAAAATAACTATTACAAACAAGGCCTACAATGACAATAATAACCATAAGTGGATACATAGATACATAAAACGAATAGGTGTGGGAAGGCAAATAGGACCACACACAGGATTTCACAAAGGATATTACTATATATGAACGAGGGGGCTTCAAAAAGTTCATGGACAAGTGGAATGAAAAGATATTGGAAGAGTTCCATACATATTCCGATGCCCCTTGTTATATACATGAATATAGTAAAGCATTCAGAGGGCAATGCTTGGCAAACTTCTGAGCCATCACCAAACACCGTGAGGAATAAGTCACTGGGCCTGGAAGGGCAGGGCCCTATCTCTGAGAACATCAAGTTAACTGGCACAATATAGTGCACAAAGAAAATGATTTATGTTCTCCTTTGGTGAGTAGTGACCAGTGCCTTACAACCGTGTTAAGTGGTCATCTCAGGTACAATTATTGGCCTCTCTCTATTTGGAGCAAAGGAAAATGAAGAAAACAAAGATATAGGGAAACTATTTAATTAAAAGTCTAATGGGCCACACAAACTTCCGCTCCCAGGACCCCCAAACCAGAAGAACTAGACAGGGCCTGGTTACCATTTCCAACTTCTCTGAAAGGGATCGCAATAGAAGGTTCTTGATAGAGTGGGAGAAAAATGGAACAAACTCCCAAATCATGAAAAACGCTCTGATGCCCCAAGATGTGAATGCAACATACTGGCATGAAGCAGGGCACCAATAGAGAGGTCTGAGGGGTCTGCCCTAATCCCAACTACGTGGAGAGCTCCCCCACCCCGCAGAAGAATTCACTTCAGAGAACAGCACTGAAGCTGCAGCTCAGGGAGAGGGACATGTCTGATCAGAGCACACGGGAAATGATGGGGGAGGAAGAGCGAGTGGAGCACATCCTGGCCCACTAAGCCTTGAGGACCATATCCCTGCTCAGAGCAGCCAATGCACAGAGAGGACCACAGGGCCAGCCCCACTATGAAACACGTCATCCCTCACTGACCCATAGCCCTACGGGAGACAACACTGGAGACACAGTGTGGGAATTGTGCCCCCATCTGATCCCACCACACCTAGACAAAACACTAAGGACGTGGAACAGAACAGCAACGGGTGTGGGGTGTGGGGTGGGGCAGAGCAATGAAGTCCCCAGGGAATATCAAAAACAGACTTTAGGGCCAGGGCATGGCACCCCATCAGACTCGACCAGAAAACATTCCTGAAAGTCAACAAACAGACCTTGAACTATTTACACGCTTTTCTTTTCTTTCTCATTGGATTTTGTTACTTAGTTTTGCTCAGTCTTGTTTTTTGTGCACATTATTATCTCTGCAGGTCTATCTAGATAAGATAGGCGGGATAAACAATCTGGAGGAGAAAACCGACGGTTGGGGAGGGGAGCACATGGGAGAGGAGGAGGTAGGGAAAAGGAAGTGGGTGTTAACCAACCCAGGGACAAGGGAACAACAAATGATCAAAAATCGATGGCGAGGAGGGTGCTCACATGATGCTCACCTTCCTGACACCATCACTGAAGACAAAGTGGGTGCATAAGCAAGTGTGATGAAGAAAGGTGATGGTGCCTGGTAGGGCTTGATCAAGTGCAATGTAACCAAGAAGAATTACTGGAAACCAAATAAAGGTTGAACATGATAGTGGGACAAGAGGAAAGTAAAAGGAAACAGAGGAAAAAACTAGGAGGCAAAGGGCATTTATAGAGGTCTAAATACAGGCATGTACATTTGTAAACATATTTATATATTTTGATGGGGGAATAGATCTATGTACATAGGTTTAGTATTAAGGTAGCAGATGGACATTGGGCCTTCACTCAAGTACTCCCTCAACGCAAGAATACTTTCTTGTATTAACCTGGCATTCCATGATGCTCACCTTCCTGACACCATCCTGAAGACAAAGTGGGTGCATAAGCAAATGTGATGAAGAAAGGTGATGGTGCCTGGCTATCAAAAGATATAGCGTCTGGGGTCTTAAAGGCTTGAAGGTAAACAAGCAGCCAGCTAGCTTGGAAGCAACAAAGCCCACATGGAAGAAGCACACCAGCCTGTGTGATCACGAGGTGTCGATGGGATCAGGTATCAAGCATGAAAGAACAAAAAATCATATTGTGAATGAGGGGGAGTGTGGATTGGAGACCCAAAATCCATCTGTAGGCAACTGGACACCCCCTTAAAGAAGGGTCATGGGGAGGAGAGGAGCCAGTCAGGGTGCAGTATAGCACCGATGAAACATACAATGTTCCTTTAGTTCTTTAATGCGTCCACCCCTCACTACCATGATCCCAATTCTACCTTAAAAATCCGGCTAGACCAGAGCATGTATGTACACTGGTACAGATAAGAGCTGGAAACGCAGGGAATCCAGGACAGATAAACCCCTTAAGACCAATAATGAGAGTAGTGATACCAGGAGGGTGAGGGAAAGGTGTGGGGAGAAAGGGGGAACTGATCACAATGATCTACATATAACCCCTTCCCTAGGGGCCAGACAACAGAAAAGTGGGTGAAGGGAGACATTAGCCAGTGTAAGATATGACAAAATAATAATTTATAAATTATCAAGGGTTCATAAGAGAGGGAAGGTGGGGGAGGGAAGGGGAAAATGAGGAGCGGATACCACGGGCTCAAGTAGAAAGCAAATGTTTTGAGAATGATGATGGCAACAAATGTACAAATGTGCTTGACACATGGAAGAATGGATGAATTGTGATAAGAGTTGTACGAGCCCCCAATAAAATGATTAAAAAATAAAAAACACCTGCCCCATCTTCCCCAGGACAAAAGTCAGAAGGACAGAAACAGGAAACATACACAAAAAGTGGAATGGGTGCTGTGAGCACCATGATGACTGCCTTCAATGTATGAAACAAAATGTGCATGAATTGTTTAGTGCTGAAGCGAACAGAACTGTTCCTTCGGGATCTAGAGGCTGTAAATATTTATGGAGACAGACTGCTTCATTTTTCTCCCTCAGAGTAGCTGGAGGGTTCCCCTTTGGTTAGCAGCCTAACACTGAACCCACGGCAACAAGAGAACGTTGTTGGGGCTCCACCCCAACCCCAGATCAGCCTGGACTGGAGGCCACCTACAATCCTGCTTCCTTCATCCAAACCAGAGTAGAAAATTTAAAAAAGTTAAAAACAAAACAAGACTGGAAAAGACCTCACAAAACAAAAAACCCTCATTGGCCTATGGTCACCAAGCTGGTTTGTGAAACCTCCTGAGGGTTGAACCTGCGGTCTCAATCCCCATCGGATGTGTTCTCTGCAACACCACGGTGGGGATCAGGAGATGCAGGTCCTGCCTGTGGTAGCTACAAAGTCATGCATTTACAAGATGGTGTGGTTTGTTTTTTTTTGTATTTAGAAGATTTGACAACTGTTCCAAATTGACTCCTCAACTAGGTCAAAGTGGATCTCTAACGCGACATGTTTAATAAATGACCTAGGGGCAAAGGTTTTATTACTGGTTGTGTACACAGATGCTTTCTGCTGAATTCTCCACTTGCTGGAAGCCACTCACGCAGGCCTGGAGGCTCAGAGGTGATGGCCCAGAGAGAAATGAAACGCTCAAGGCCATGACCCTGCTTTCACCGTGAGCTGGCCCTGCTCGTTGACCTTGCGTGGTGCCAGGGGACCCTAACTCTTAGAGACTGCAGTTTCAAAAAGGGACTTTGCTGCTCTTTCAGGGGAATCGTTGCAGAAGCTGCCACTCTGTGGGGAAGGAGATTCAGTCTGGCGTGGGAACACAGTGGTCATGGACCCAAAATATCCCACTTGAACTGAGGGTCCTCCTACGCTGGTAGGTTTGTGGGGCAGAGATCCGTGGTGGTTGTGGCCCTGCCTCAAGGGCCAAGTGCTATAGAGGCACACTTGTCACTTCAACACTAGGACCACAAGGCTGCTGCTACTGGGCGCCACTGCAGACCTCAGCGCTCTCGCTAAAGAGGTCTCTCGCTGTTGCTGTATGCTGCATCACTGTTGACTCGCAGCAACCCCATGTCACAGAGTAGAAGTGACCTACAGGGTTTCCTAAGCTGTGACCATCATAGGAGCGGATTGCCAGTTTGTGTTCTTCCCATGCGGTTGCTGGGTAGGTTTGAACCAGCAACCTTTCCATTAGCAGCTGAGCTCGTAACCACTATGCCACAGGGCTCCTTGGAGTTCTCCTGAAAGGGGGCTAGAGCAACTACCATGAGATTGACAGCCCCAAAGCACAGTTCCAGAAACAACAGACACACATTAGCCCATTCAGAATAAATTAAATAACTGAGGTATATCCTCTGTGGAAAATCAACTCCACAAAATAAAACCTCAGAGGAGTGGATGGATTTATTTACTGGTCTCTGACATGGAAAGTCAACAATCAAGTATGTTGTCTAGGAGGGGCATCTTCAGAAACTGGCTATCAGAGAGGATAGCAGGAAGTGAAAATCCTTGTTCTGGGTACACAGCACACCCAAGAGACATAGTACCTTTTGCTTTAAAATGTCCACGGGCGTCTGGTGGGCTTTCAGCTTCTTATTTTTGAGGAGCACTTTCCTCCTTAGTTGATCAGGCGATGGAAGCATTGGCTCATCTGAGAAATCACTCTCAAATAAGAATTTAGACACCAGCTTATCTCCAAACACAGTCTAAAAAGAATACAAGAAAAACACACAAGCAATGACGGCTACCTATTGTTAGATTATTCACATACACAGATATTTTGGCCCACTTGAACTGTTTTAAATCTATAAAGAGGAAGTAGGATACACACACACACACACACACACCCCAAAACTGGAATTTTTTTCCCCAAAGCTATTTATTTAACTTTTTTTTCTTTTTACAAAATAACCTTATCACATTCAAAGTACTCTCCATTACACTTAATACATTTGTCAAATCTGTGATTCCATTCTTGGAAACATTTTTCCAAACTCATGTGTTTGGATGGCTGACAGCACCTCCCTCGTTGTTTTCCTTTACCTCTTCTATGTCGTCAAATCGCTGTCCTTTCATGTCCCTCTTCATTCACAGAAATAAAAAGAAGCCACACAGAGTGAGGTCAGGTGAGTCAGGTGTGTGGGGCAAAAGAGGCATGCTGCTTTTTACCAAAAACTGGCTCACTGAGATGGCTGCGTGAGCAGGTGCACTGTCGTGGTGGCAAAACCAGTCCCTGGTTGGCCACAAATCAGGCCTTTTTTGTCACGCACTGTTATGCAATCTTTTCAGAAGTTCTAAATAAAAAGCATGATGAACAGTCTGACTTGGTGGAACAAACTCCAAATGCACTATCCCTCTTGCATCAAAAAAACATATGAGCATCGTCTTGATCTTTGATTTTACTTGACGGACTTTTTTGGGGTGAGGTGATGATGGCATCTGCCACTGGCTTGATTGATGTTTGCTTTTGTGGTAAGAATAGCACCATGACTCATCACCAGTAATGACCTTGGAAACAAAAAGAGAACCAACAAACACAAACAAAAAACCAAAAAGCAAAACAAAACAAAACCCCACAAAAAAGAAAGCAAATAAAACAAACAAATAAAATGACCTTGGAAACAAGGTCTGGTAGCTTTGGCGCTGTTCTTTGAAAGCACGGCATGCTTCCACTGGTCACTCTTTTTCCAGGTCAGTCAAACCGGAGGCACACATTTCACGGGAGCTTCTCATTCCCAAATCTTCGGTTAGTAGTCCCTGAACTGAATTCCAAGATCGTCTGGATAGCCTCCCCAACACTGCAAGGGTCTGTTGCCGTTGTCGTCGGTCTTTGAGCACAAGTACACACATTTTGTCAAAATTTCTGGCCATTCGGGAAGTTGATGGACGTCCAGAATGAGGTTTGTCATCAGTTGACATTTCACCTTTTTTGAAGTGAGAAAACCACTCTTACACTTGAGTTTTTCCCATAGCGCTGTCCTTGTAAGCTGTGTTCAACATCACAACAGTTTCTGCGGTATTTTTCCCGAGCAGGAAACAAAATTTCACAGTCGCACTCTTAAGTCAACCATTACCAAAAACAAGGTTCGAGCAAAACTGCTTTTATAAAAATATCCACTGTGACCAGAGAGAACCTTCCCAGGTGACGCCACTGGGCGCACTAACTCAGTTACTCCATGTTCCCCTAGTGGGGAAAATGCTTACTATGAAAGCTCCGCCCAGCATAGCTTTTTCCATTTTTTTTTTGGGGGGGGGTGTACCCTTTCATATATATTTTCTGGAAGGAGAGGTCTGGGTTACTCTTCCAGCTGGGCTCTCATTCTATACACTTAGGCAAACGCTCTGGGGCCTGGGAGAATAAAGTAGAAAACAAAGGCTGATGGTAGAGTCAATGAAATAGAAACCTTGGAGGAGATGGGGAATAGGGGTAAAGATCAAAGACAATAAGGAGAATTTGCTCCCCGTGGGTATAAAGGAGCTGCTGTACCACTCTCAAAGCTTTTCTGAGCATTTGTCTTCAAAGAGAAGTGTAGCCTCCTGGGGAGAGGGGCATGTGTAGGACACAGGATGATTCATGATGTGAGGGTAAAAAAGTATAGCAATTTCTGTTTCTAATTATTTTTTACTTAAAAAAAAGAAAGAAAATTGGAAGCTGATTAATGTTTACCATTCAGATTCAAAATGGCACCTACACTCAACAAATGTGTCAGACACACACATCGTGTGCTGTTCTGTTCAGAACAATCTCTTAGGGACAAGGATGAGTCTCAGGGCTCAGAGGAGCTGGCAGCGGGTCCCTCACATGTTTTTGTTTGATATCAGTTTATTGTGATGATTGCAATTTGGGGTGACATAAGATGCAACCTCTATGATTATTTTCATGAAAGTTTTTTTTTCCCTTTATGTTTTTTTTTTTTTTTTAATGAGATGAAGAGTGACCACGATTCTCTCTTTTGCCATCTGAGGGGCTTCAAAAAGTTCACAGAAAAATTCCACAACCTTTGAATTGTCCCCCCCCCCAAACTTTTTTAAGCCTCCTTGTAGAAGCTCACACTTTAGACCATGACAAACTGGTTAACGGAGTGTTTCTATGCTACGTATATTTCTTAAGCAAACAAACCAGAAAGTCCTGAAATGCCTGACTTTTCCTAGGTGTTGACAAGGGCCTGGCAATAGCTTGCTGTTCCCAGATAATAAATAAGAATTGTAAAAGCAACAAAATCAAAGGTAATCAGTTCTTAGATGATAAAGGCGATGATTTGACAGTACGCAAGAGAGCAATTGCTGCTTAAGTAACATTTGCATGGTAGAAAAAGTATTTTAAAAAACGTGCGGGTAGAAATATTTCTGTTGCTATGAGATTTCCTCATAGGAATTGCTCATGTCTGCACTCAAGAAATGTAAGAGCAGATTTTCTGATAGTGAACAAATCCTGATGGAGTTGTAGTGGGGTTTACAAAAGGCAACGCCTTTCAGTGTTTCTGAAGCCGATCAAGATCAGGAAACAAATCTCTGAGCCAAATTTCAACAAAAACCTTTGTATTTTTGGTGAATGGAACCGAAAAGTGATAACTATGGTTTCACCAAGTACGGCTTGGCTCGTGACCTGCCTCTTCTACTGAGGTCCGTGTGTCTTTGTCAGGTCTCCTGTTTCAGCTACTGTAGCCACTGAAAGCAAATACGGAAATAATAAACTGCACTTACAAACCTGACATCCCTTCCAGGCTATCAAAAGATATAGCGTCTGAGGTCTTAAAGGCTTGAAGGTAAACAAGCAGCCATCTAGCTTGGAAGCAACAAAGCCCACATGGAAGAAGCACACCAGCCTGTGTGATCACAAGGTATCGAAGGGATGAGGTATCAGGCATCAAGGAACAAAAAATCTTATCATTGTGAATGAGGGGGAGTGTGGAGTGGGGACCCAAAATCCATCTGTTGGCAACTGAACATCCTCTTGCAGAAGGGTCTCGGGGAGGAGAAGAGCCAGTCAGGGTGTAGTGTAGCAATGATGAAACATACAATTTCCTCTAGTTCCTAAATGCTTCCTCCCCCCTCGCCTGCCCCCCACTATCATTATCCCAATTCTACCTTACAAATCTGGCTAGACCAGAGGGTGTACACTGGTACAGATGGGAACTGGAAACACAGGGAATCCAGGATGGATGATCCCTTCAGGACCAGTGGTGAGAGTGGCGATACTGGGAGTGTGCAGGGAGGGTGGGGTAGAAAGGGGGAGCCGATTATAGGGATCTACATGTGACCTCCTCCCTGGGGGATGGACAACAGAAAAGTGGGTGAAGGGAGATGTCGGACAGTGTAAGATATGACAAAATAATAATTTATAAATTATCAAGGGCTCAAAAGGGAGGAGAGAGTGTGGAAGGAGGGGGAAAATGAGGAGCTGATGCCAGGGGCTTAAGTGGAGAGCAAATGTTTTGAGAATGATGAGGATAATGAATGTACAAATGTACTTTATACAATTGATGTATGTATGGATTGTGAGAAGAGTTGTATGAGCCCCCAATAAAATGATCTAAACCCCCTCCAAAACCAGACATCCCAGTCACCAATGATCACCACGTTGAAAGTGGCAACTTAAAAAATAATGCAACACGCTCAATCACATTATGTCCACAGTTTAGATATGAAATGAACAAAACTAGACTTTTGTTATTTCTTTTAATGATAGCTCAGATTCTTTTAAATTAAAAAAATGAAAGTATCTTAAAATAATCTTGATCTTTTCTAGGTTATTCTTTTCCTTTCCATTTCTTGTGCACATTTTCGGTAGTGCCTAATGAGCAGAGCGTGTATCTTATCTATACACAAGGCAACACAACATGCCCCGTTACTATAAATGATAATACAGGAAAGACAATATATGAAAATTGAATTTCTTGTGCTGGCTTTAGTATTTGGGGACACTTTCCTTTCTCAGCGTTCCTTCTTCCCGCCCTCCCACTGGCGGGGGTGAGGGGTGGGGGTGGGGGGTGATAATCCTATCCATGCCTTTACCACTGAGAGAAGTATAACAGTGTTAGACCCTGCATCTCAGCATTACAGCTCCCTTGTATAAAAGGGCTGGCTGCTATCACAGCAACTGTTCTGGCCACCCTAAGCTCCTTGTCAACTTGGTTTCTTGTATCTGAACATCTGCAGTGTGGGCCCAAAGGATTTCACTTATTCTTCTTCAGACTTTTCAACCTTTTCCTGACTTGTGTGCAGGAGGTGCTAAGATGCTTCTTGGAGAGTTGTTTTATCTGATCTTCTGTGACTTTCTAGAAAGAGTCTGAGGACCACGTGCTTTTATTACTCCAGCTAAGAAGAGATACCACTCAACAAAGAGTTGAACCAAATATGTATAAATTAACTTTCTATAAGTGAATATTCCATGTACTTCAGTCTAATGTTTCCCTACAGATGTATATTTTCCTTTTCTCAATAGTAATTTAAATTCTATGATATTGGCTAAATTAATGACACTATTATTAGACATACCAAGGGTCCCCTGCAAATTATATTATTTCACACCTCAAAAGTGGGCCATGACATATATAATCCTTAGATTTATGAATGGATTTTGAACTTGCACTTAATTGTAAGCCCTACTTAACGTTCTTATAATTTGGCCCTGCTTGATACTTGCCCTCATGAAGTAATCCCTGAAGACATGGGTGCCGCAGTACAGTGTGGTGAAGAAATCAGGTGCTAACAAAGTGCGGTGCCTATCCATCAGAAAGAATGCCTGGGGTCTTAAAGGCTTGTCTTTAAACAAGCAACCAGCTAAGTGAGGTGTCAGCTAACTCTTTTCAGAAGAAGCACACCAGCCCATGTGATCCAAGGATTGTAAATAATAAAATCCAAGGCCAGAGAAGATAATTGTATTAGAGCAGTGGTTCTCAAGCCTCCTAATGCCACGACCTTTTAATATAGTTCCTCGTGTTGTGGGGACCCCCAACCATAAAATTATTTTCGTCGCTACTTCATAACTGTAATTTTGCTACTGTTATAAATCATAATGTCAATATCTGATATGCAGGATATATTTTCATTGTTACAAATTGAACCTAATTAAAGCATAGTGATTAACCACAAAAAACAATATGTCATTATATATTGTGAAATATTTATTTCTAATTATAAATCAATGAAATTTTGTCTTGAAGCATGGGATAGCATGGGTAACAGTCTTCATGCCATGTGGGCGGATCTGCCTGCAGACGGATAGAGGAGCGGTGTCTGGGTTCCTAAGACCATTGGAAATATGTGTTTCCGATGGTCTTAGGCGATCTCTGTGAAAGGGTTGTTTGACCCCCCCCCAAAGGGGCCATGACCCACAGGTTGAGAACCACTGTATTAGAGCCTAAATTCAGAGCACCCAGTTTGCAGATAGCTATGGACAACAGTGAAAGCCCAAAATCCATTTGCATAATCTTCAAGTGGACTGTCTCCACCGAACTCCTTCAGACCATTGACCTGATTCTGAATAATTTTGTCCTCAGACAGAATGCATCAGAAAATGGATTACTGCAAAAAGAGGTAGTTTAAAATTTAATATCTTACCATTTGTTTTCCCTTTAAAAAAATCATTTTATTGGGAGCTCTTATGGCTCTTATAACATTCCATATGGCAACTGTATCAAGCATATTTGCACATGTTGCCATCATCATTTCCAAAACATTGTCTACTTGAGCCCTTGGTATAAGCTCCTTTGTTCCCCTTCCCTCCCCCACCCTCATGTATCCGTGATCAATTATATATTGTTATGTTATTTGGTATCTTACACTGCCCATTGTCTCCCTTCACTCACATTTCTGTTATTCATCCCCTTCGGTGTGGGGTGTGTGTGGGGGCGATATATCCAATCTTGTGATGGGTTCCCCCTTCCTCACCCAGCCCCGTATGCTCATGATATCGCTATTCCCATTACTGATCTTGAGAGGTTTATCTTTCCTGAATTCCATGTGTCGAGAATTCTTATCTCCGGTCTAGCCGGATTTGTAACTTAGAACTGGGTCATGGTAGTTGGGGAGAGGAAGTATTCAGGAACTAGAGGAATGATAAGTGATTTGTCAGTGTTATACTACACTTTGGTTGAATCATCCCTTCCTTATATCACTTCTGCGGAGGGATATCCAATTATCTATAGATGGACTTTGGGTCTCCACTCTAACCCCCCTTGTTCAAATTGATCTAGTTGTTTGTTTTGGATCTTTTGATACCTGATGCCTGATCCCATTGACAACTCATGATCACACAGGCTGGTGTGCTTCTCCCATGTGGGCTTATTTGCTTTGGTACTAGATGGCCGCTTGTTTGACTTCAAGCCCCAGATGCTATATCTTTTGATAGCTGGGTACTATCTGTTCTCTTCACATTTGCTTATGCACCCGCTTTGTCTTCAGTGTTGGGAAGAGTTCCAGGTTATCAGAACAAAGTGTTCCACTCTAACCCCCCTTGTTCAAATTGATCTAGTTGTTTGTTTTGGATCTTTTGATACCTGATGCCTTATCCCATTGACAACTCATGATCATGCAGGCTGGTGTGCTTCTCCCATGTGGGCTTATTTGCTTTGGTACTAGATGGCTGCTTGTTTGACTTCAAGCCCCAGATGCTATATCTTTTGATAGCTGGGTACTATCTGTTCTCTTCACATTTACTTATGCACCCGCTTTGTCTTCAGTGTTGGGAAGAGTTCCAGGTTATCAGAACAAAGTGTTCTTGTGTTAAGGGAGGCCTTGAGTAGAGGCCCAAAGTCTGTCTGTTATCTTAATACTTATCATATAAATATATGTACATTATATTTCATTATAAATGAATATACTTACATATATAAATGCCTATAGCTATAGCTCTAGAAATAGCCTTTGCCTCCTATTTATTTCCTCTATTTCCTTTCACCTTCCTCCTATCCCAGTATCATACTCACCCTCCATTTGGCTCTCAGTATTTCCTCTCTGATACACTGGCTCTTGATCAAGCCCCACCCAGCATTATACATCCTCCTCTCCATCAATTTTAGATCTTTGTTGTTCCCTTATCTCTGAGTTTGTTGGCTCCTCACTCCCTCTTCCCAGCCCCTCTTTTCCCATGTCCCCCTGGAACCTCCGGTCCTGTAGTTTTCTCCTTGGGATTGTTCGCCCTGCCTATCGTATATAGGTAGACATAGGGCACAACAAAAAGAAAAAGAAAAACAAAACAAGCAAGCAAACAAAACCAAACAGAACAAGAGAAAAACAAACAAACAAACAAACAAAACAACCAATAGATCCAGGTCTGTCTGCTGACCTTATGCATGTTTTCTGATCAAGTCTTGACCCATTTTTAACTTGTTCTAGTTTTTATTATTTTCTGCTTTCTTTGGATTGAAGTGAATCTGTATGTTATTTTGTTGTTGCTGATGAACTTTTTTTGGTACGACGTTCTTCATATGAAATACAGAATAGGTAAGTCTATATAGTAACTAGATTAATAGATCGATAGGATTCTGACAGGGGAGGTGGGGAAGAAATGGGGCACTAATAATAAGAATGAAGAAAATGATTCAAAAAATGGGTTGTGATGATGATTGCACAACTCTTTGCAATATATTTAAACCATTAAACTGTACACAAAGTATATGTCAATAAAATGGTTAAAATGAAATGCCAGGAAGATGAAACAAAATCTGCAGGAATTATTGAATAGAATGCTGAATAGCTCTGTAAACGTTCACCTAGTTCACAATCAAATAGTTACAGGGAAGAAGAAAGAGCCCAAGCTTCCAGCTTCCAAGTCTGAGCGACCCAGGGCACTCATGGCTAAGGTCCAGCTGTGGTGTACAACCCATGGCAGCCCCGAATGAAACTCAATGAGGGTCACAAGACAAGGACCAACACAGGATTGCGCCTCCTGGTGGAGAGCTCACCTTGAAAATGTCTGCCATTTTTCGTTGCTGAGGCAATGAACAGTGGTTCTCAATCGATATGATGATCGGCAGGTCAGAGGTGATAAAGGCGCTGCGGTCGATGGCCTCAACCACTTCCTGTGAGAGCCAAACAGTGCGTTAGAGCCCAATCACCCATTCAGGGTAGTTAGCAGGCAAGGTGCCTAGAGCTGCAGAAAGCATCTAAATGGTTGTGGGCTGCAGGCTCTGGTCAAAGGTGACTTTTCTTTTTGAGTTTATAAAGGCACGGAGTGAGCTGCATTTATAAATCAAGCAAAAAGATAGGCTAGCTTTTTTCTGTAAAATAAACAGCGATTACTCACTTCTATCAGGGTTATTTGGACTCAAAGTCACACTATAGGATAGAGAAGAATCGCTATCAATCTTTATGGTTTCATCGACTGCCCTGGCTGTTCAATGCGTACCCAACAGCGCCACGAGGGCTGCTTAGCCACCACATGAGATGCAACTAATAACACTGCTCCCCAGCCCCACCATGCTTCAGAGGAAACATGACGTCCCCGAGATGGGGGTCCACCGAATGAGGACAGTGATTACGCAATTCATCTAATAAGCTGCCCACAACTGAAACAGTCCAATGGAACCGATTCACACTAGCCTGTAGTGTTTGATATTTAGTCACGTCTTGGCACAGGACTCTCGCCCCTGTCGACAGGATACTGAGCCTTAAATTCCTATCACCAGAGCCCCTGATGTTTATATAGCATCTTAGGATGTAAAAACGACAACAAGATGATTACTTGATGATTACTTATAGGGAATGGATGCTAACCTTTGAGGTTTAGGGAATGTATGCTAACCTCAAATGAGGGTCAGCTGAAGGTTCTAGAAGAAATCCCAGAAAAATGAACACGTATACATCCAGTACGATATTTGGGAGATTTCCAGACCCATGACAAGAACCCTTAGCTGAGGCATAATTTGGAAGCAGCATCCGTTTAAATGCGGAATGGAGAATGCCTCTTTGTGGCTAGATTTTAGGAACGTTACGAAGCATTACCTTGAAGGGGATCTTGGTTGTCAGTGTGTGACCGTGATAAATGATTGGCATCCCATCATCTCCATCCCAGCAGTCCAACTCCACGCTCCTACAGCCTTGCAGGAGAACCTGTGTGGTCAAGGAGAGAGCCCACCACGGATGAGCACATGGAGACAGAGCCTCAGCTGACACCCAGCACGGTGTCCTGCATATCAGCCCGTGTTCACATTCAGAGCTAAAGCAAAAGAACAGGAGATTTAAACTAAATAGTGCACTTGGGCCAAAGGCAAGAATTAATAAGAGGCAGGGAAGGTGAGAACAGATTAAGGTGCAAAAAGAATATTCACTAAAGCTGAATATGGTTGGAAGGTAACATTTGCCAGCAAACACCTATGGCCATTTCCCCAGCCATTTGGGTCCCTCTGGGGACCCATTCATGACACATCTCGAAATTAGACAGCGAGACACGGGCACTAGTGCTTTACCTAGGCAGATATCAGTATATGTCAAAGGTACTGATGTGAGTTAGTTAATTGTGCCAGCCTGGCTGATAATCACATGTGGGGCTGGTTGAAAGGCGGAGGGATAAATGGGGGGGTGAGCCTCACCTTTCTAGCTCTCAGGTCTCTTGCTTTGTGATGGTCGCACCAGGGTGCAGCTGCCTTAGCAGTTCCCTGCTTCAGCTTGCAAGATTGACTTCCTACAAGACATCCCCAAGGAGAAGCCACATGGACCTATCCCGATGCAGCCCTGGGTGCTGGAGCAGCCATGTGGAAACCCCTGCTAGTGCTGAGATGCTTATTCGTTCACTGACTCAGCTTTCCTCCTGCAGTCGGCATCATTGCCTCTGTTTTGTGAGGTGGAGGACTTTGTGGACTGGTGTTGGGTTAATGGGTTAATGTTGGACTTGTGGGCTTGGGCAGCATTGGGTTGGGATGTTTTCGTGATGCACACTTTCTTTACATAAAACTCTCTTATACATGAGTTGCTGTGGATTTTTTTCTCTAAAGTACCTAGACTAATACATGAGGTCACAGCCCAGAGACTATAAGACTACTGATCCTTAGTGAAATGACTGCACATTCATATTGTCAGTCAGGATAAAATCCCCTCCATTTAGATTCCAAGTTGTGCTATCAGCTAAAACCTTTGTTAGAAATGTGTGACATGAAAGAGTACAAGGCGCCAACAGGGATTTGTCCCGAGCAGCATCCAGACCAGGGAAGGTAAAGGATCCATAGCTCTCGTCTCCATACCCCTGGCAGAACTCAAGCATGCTCCACAGCACACTTGCTCCTCTGCTTTGTTACATTATCTCCTAACTTTTTCAGTCAACTGTTCCAGGAAACACTACCCAACTGTCTTGGGTCTGGAGCTAGAAGCGGAGGTCCTGCCATGAGCGTGGGCTGCAGCTCGGTAACAATCGCTTACAGCAACCACTTCCTCTCCATGACCTGAAGGGTAGATTCTTTCAAAAGACAGCCACATGGTGGAAGAGTAACACAAACCAAGAGGCTACTCTAACTGTGAGCAAATGAGCTGAGTCACTGAGCCATCATGACTATTTCCAGTGACAGCAATCCAAGACTAGAGTTACTGCACAAAACTCAGTGGGTGGGACACTTCTTATTTTAATCTCTCTCTATTTTTTGTTAGAGACTTGCTAGGTTCTCCACGTTGCACAGCATTACAAAACAAAAAACAAAACCAACAAAACAGTTCACTGCCATAGAGTCATTTCTGGCTCACAGCGACCCTGTAGGACAGAATCGAGTGGCTCCTATAGGTTTCTGAGCCATTAACTCTTTACGGGAGTAGAAAACCTCCTCTTTCTTCTGAGGAACAACTGGTGGTTTCAAACCACTGACTTTGTGGTTAGCAGCCTAACTCGTACCCACTATGCCACCAGGGCTCCTTACACAGCATCGCTCCTGCCATCCCATCGCTATTAGCTCTTTTCAGCAGCGATAATAGCTAGTGGTACTGTCTTGGCTGAACGTTGCTGTGGGATTTGGCAGCAGCTTCATCTCTGGGTGATGCTGCCTGGCGGGGAAGAATATTCACCAACTGGTGACAGACCGGGTGGCTTCTCAGTGAGAAGGACTAAAGGCATTGACCTCCATCTGTGGCCAGAGAAGGAAAGTCAGGGCTGGAGTCACCCGATGAGAAGGACAGGGCTTACTCTCACCTTCCCCAGCAAGTAGTTGATGTACATGGGCCATTGAGCTGACCCTGACTCACAGAGACCTTAGAGGGGGCGGAGAACTGCTCATGAGGTTGCTTAGGCGGTCAGGTTCATAGAGCAGATTTCCAGGGCTTCCCTCCCTCAGGGCTGTGGGGAGGCTTGAAGTGCCAGACTTTCTGTTAGCGGCGGACCTCTTAACTGTTTCATCACCAGGGTTATTAGGGCCGCCAAAGGAAAGGGGTATGAAATGAGTAAAAGGGTTTAATCCATGCTGTTCAGTTTTTTTAAAATCATTTTATTGGGGGCTCATACAACGCTTATCCCAATCCATACATACATCAATTGTGTAAAGCCCATTTGTACATTCGTTGCCCTCATCATTCTCAAACATTTGCTCTCCACTTAAGCCCCTGGCATCAGCTCCTCTCATGCTGGGTTTAATCACACCTGTGAGTCAAGTTGTAGTTTCTTGTGTCTTTTGGTGATCTCTAGTTGGGGTATAATGCTAAAGATTAAAAAAAAAAATCCTTGGGAGTCAAATGGGGAAGTGAAGTAGGGATGAAAGCTAGGTCTTGGCTTATTTTTCTAAAAGAAACACACACATATGTAAATAAACAGATGAATACCTAGGTAACTGGATAACTAACTAACTATTCTACTTATTTCTCCTAGAAATAGGGACTTCAAGTTCTTTTAATCTTGGACTTCTGTGAAAATAGAAGGCTAATTTGTAAAACATACAACTAAGTAATAGTTGGGCTGAAGTGAGGAAGAGTCTGGGGCCCTTCCTGCTGTTGTTTGCTCATCTCGACGTTAGAAGCTGAGCCTCTTGACAGGCTCCTTTCTTAAAACCACCACCTCCAGGGCCCATCTTCATACAAAGAACGGTGCAAGATTGACTGCGGTAATCATTGCACAACTTTTCTTGCTGGGATTGAACTACTGAATTGTATGTGCCAATTGATTATGTGCCAATGAAACTGTTTAAAAAGAAAAAAAAAAGGTCACACAGAATATAGAGGCTAAACTACATATATTTTACAATATATAAATTCCATACTGACTATTTAATGCTGTGAGGAATAATCTGAACTAATCTGAAAAACAAATCCTTGCTATGTATATAAACAAAACAATTATAATTTCAAACGCAAGCTGACACACACATACATCTATCCCCTCAGCGGAGTCCCAGTTGTTCTGCCAAGTCCTCCTCATAGGAGTGAGGACCACAGGCATCACCAAGGCGGAGGTTTCAGACAACAGACAGAGCGGCAAAGGAAGCCGTGTTCTATTCGAGAGCCTACTGTGTGAAAGAACATGCCAGGAACTTTCCCATAAATCAACCAGGTGTAGAGACAGTGCCTACAGTCTGAACAGTTCTTCTTCCAAGTTGATTACCGAAAGGATCGACTGATCAATGATCTAACAAGTAGAATGGCAAAATCAATAATGAGAGGGCTTCTGAAAGTTTGTGAGGAAATAGAATGGAAAGATCATGGAGCTGTTCAATAAATATTTTGGAGCCCCTTCCTATCTTTAAGAATAACGCCATAGAAAGCTGTATTTTCTACTATGCTTTCCTATAATATATTGATTTATTTTGTGTTTATGGAACAATTAGATAATTTTCCCATGGGAAAATCTAATTTTAGTAGGGCAGGTCAGACTAAGCATTGAAGGTTATGATTCTCAAACAAGTGTGTGCGTGCACGTCCAAATACACGCAAGCCTAGAAGGAAAGTTAAGTATAGATACTGAAGAAAAAGAAAAGAATTACGCATTAGCCGTTTTCCCACACGTCTCCTCTCACGAAAATAATAATAGTTCATTCTGCCAGCTCTTCCAAGGAATCTGGGGTCCAGTTTCTGTGGCTCTGGAGGTTGTGGAAATAGAAAGGCTTAATGAAGACCATATTCCCAGTGGGGTTCTCAGTACCTGGCTGTAGAGTTCGACCGAGGATTCGCCTTTGAGCTGATGGCCTGTGAGGTAGGTATTGTGCGAAGATTCAATGTAGTAGAAGGAGAGGGGTAACTGCAGGTCTCTCCTGTTCTCCTGCGACTCATCGTTTTTCGAGGCAAAGTTATCTTTATCCATGAGGAACCTACAGGACACAGTTGTTGGTCAGACTGCATGGAAAAAAGCCCACTCTAAAACAACAGGCAGAAGAGTCAACAAATTACCTTGCAAATCCCTCAAATGACATTAGGCCCTGGTGACACATATTGACACTAGGCTCGAACTTCTGCAAAAGATAGAAAGAAAAAGGGGGTGGGGGTGGGGATGGGGAGAGTTATTTGGATAAAAGGAAACGGAGAGGGGGAAAATAAACTGCCGTATCATTTTTTAAACTGTTCTGTTTTCATCAGGAAACATCTAAACCAAATATTTGAATGAAGTTAGTCATGTAGTAGTAAAATGTAGTGTAAACCCATTTATTCTGTGTGAGTTTATTACACTGACCATACTCAGTTTAGGGGAGAAAAAAAGAGGTGCTGAGAAAAGATGAAGGCCGCTGTACACAAAGCAAAGGGTCTCGGCTTTTCCAGCTGAGGATGGGAGAGTAGGGACAACTGCCTGACATCACCCAGGCCGAGCACGTGGGCGGGGGCTGGTCGAACGTGAATGTGCGTGCGAGAGGAAGGCGGAAGCCTTACACTTTGGCATTCTCGATGCTCAGTACTGTGGAGTCCCTGCCGCCTCAGTGAAAGGAAACCCCGCCCAGCCCTGCGCATCCTCTACATTTTTCTTCTGCTTGAGCCCCTGACACAACCCCGTGTCACTGCATCCTGCCCAAGGTCGTCCTCTTCCTCACGGCCCACGACTGCTTTATCAAGCCTGTTGTCCTTCTCCCGGGACTCGTGTCTCTCGATGACAGGCCCAAAGGATGGGAGTCGAAGTCGTGCCATTCTTGCCTCTAAGGAGCATTCTGGCCAGGCAGACCTCCCCCAAACCGATTTGCTTGTTCTGTTGGCAGGCCCCAGTACTTTCAAGGATCCAATCCGCTCGCTGGGCAGCTTAGCCACCGATTCCTAACTGGTTGATCTATGAAGTTGAAAACTAGACTTTGATTTTTTGTGTGTCCCTTAGGCTGGAACCATAGGAAGGACGCATGTGCAGATTCCTTATCGCAGTTGTGAGTCAGAGACGCCCTGTGGTCATGTTAAGGTACATAAAGACATTTATACATTTGGTATTTCAACAGTAATCACCCATCCAACAAACCAAAAGCCACCTGTATTTCTGACCAGGCTGGAAAGCTCTGGAATGGGCAGAGTAAATGTTTAGTAGGACATTGCTAGAGTGCTACGAGGCATTGTCCGCACACGCACTCCCCAGATGCGCAGACCTGAATTGTCCGCACACGCACTCCCCAGTTGCGCACAGACCTGAATGATGCCGCACTCCCCAGTTGCGCACAGACCTGAATGATGCCGAGGATTTCGTCGTACGTGTAGTGTTCGCCTTGGCAGTTCACCAGGAAGTCATTGAGCTGGAGTATACCAATTCCGAAGATGCCCAGGGACGTGCTCTCGACCCCAGTGCCGTTTGTCACAATACTGGCCGCCGCGATGGCATCAGAGATCTGCCTCTGGTTGTCTGAGAGCTGCTGTTTACTCTTAATAAACAACCCCAAATCCGAGACATTCCTGGTCAGCAAATCTGAAACAGAAGCACCCACAGAATATGGGCTATCACAGGAGAGGCAGCATCTTCAGACAGCTCATGTTAGACATTGTGGCGTTGTGGAATGACTAAACTGGAGAGACTAGACTCATCTGACTAAACAAGCCATCCGACTCGGTGCTTTATTTCTGGCTTCACTTCGTTGAAGGGATAAAGAACAACCCAATGAATAAATGGAATACATTAATACAGAACTAGGTTTATGATCTTGAAATCTCATGAGCTTGCAGGTAGGTGGGAATAGAGTTACCTCGCAGCCAAATAATAGAAAACTCACTGCCATTGAGTGGATGCTCAACTCACAGCGACACTCTAGGACAGGAGTGAACGTCCCCGGGGGACTTGGAGACTATAACTCTTTAGGAGAGTAGAGAACCCCACCTTTCTCCCATGAAGGGGCTGGTGGTTTCCAACTGCGGACCTTGTGGTGAGCAGTCGAGTGCATAACCACTATGCCACCAATAGATAGGTCTTTAAAGCAAACAGTAAGCAACCTATGTACGAAGAGGCTTGATCCAATGGATGTGTGGATTGTTCCAAGGGCTGGAATAGCTCCCACTAAAATGATCTTGAAAAAAGTGAACAATCGTGTTTGTGGGGACTGTGCTCCACAGTACAATCCACCATGTTTGCCCCAAACAGCTCAGAAGCTAGAACTAATGGTAGATTCTACTGGGGACTTGGGGCTGAATGTGGACTTGGATTTTTGAGAGTAATTACTACATTTTTATGTTTGTAAAAACATACAAATTACAGGTTTCCCTTCTTTTCCGAACTTTAAAATGTAATCGTTGGACACATTCGTGGTTATGCACATTTCCTGACAGGTTTAATAAGGGTTCCTGTGTTGAGCTTAAAGACAGCAGGGTGTTTTAAATACATGAGAAGCAACTGAAAGAAAGATGGTTGATATTTTGGTTTTTATATCTTCCATCGAGAAGAGAGAAATTACAGGGGTGGTGGAAACATTAACAATAAAAAACCAAAAGCAACCCCCCCCCACACACAGGTGGTTGCAGTGGTTGCAGAGGGGTGATGGTGATGGTGAGTGAGATCACGTAAGTGGACACTCTGGTTTCTATGTTAGGGAAACTGTCGTGCAATTTTAGGCGGGAGTGTTCCACAGAGGTCATTCAATTATCTCCTTGTCACAAAGTCTGAAAGTTCGCTTTGGGGAGTGCGGCCCACCTGCTTGGAGGCAGAGAAGAGGTTCCCAACTAGGACCTGCCACCCACCTTGTGATATGTGGAAGTGGGCCAGAAAGGACTTTGGGCCATCATAATGGCTAAAGGGTACAATTGGCTAAATATCTTGGATCCTTAGATACTTAAATATCAGGCCCACTCATGATACTTTTTTTTTTTTTTGCCCTAAATGTCAAGAGCAACCCACTCCCATGTCAACATACGATATCCTGAAAGGGTTCTCTAAGTGCTGTGCCATGCTCTGGGCCGCGGCATCCCATGTGGCGCAGGCTGAGGGTGGACACGAATGGAGTGCTGAGCTTTATTGTTCCTGCATTCCCTGGTTGGCGGAAGTGCATGGCAGTTGGTACGCAGGGAGCGGCCTCACTCATCGAAGCCGTTGTTGTGAGTTGCCATGGCCTTGACTGGGACGCAGGGTGACCCCTGGTGTGCAGAGCAGGACTGCTCCCCAGGGGTTTCAAGGCTGAGCCCTCCGGCAGCAGACGGCCGGGAGTGTCTTCTGGAGCGTGCTGTGTGGGTGGTTGAAATGGTCAGCCTGTCCGGAGGTCGTCGTGCACTAACCATTTACACTACCTGGGGACACCTGTGAACCTAAGTTTTAGACAGGACGCCCTCAAAGCAAACACCTGGGGGTGTTAAGGAAGCCTGAACACATACAGGAAACATTCTAGGATGTCAAACAAACCTAGGTCCGGCTGGAGGCTGCTGGTGTGTTCTTCGATAGTAAGGTTGGTGTAGAGTGGGGCTGACTCGGAGCCCAGTCGGGTGCAGGGCACGGAGTAGATGTCAAAGAGATCCTTCAGGTCCTTCCGGCTTCTCACACTGTGCGAGGACAGGCAAACAGCTCGCAATTAGTACGTTGCTGCAATGTGGGGGCTGAGCAAGAGTAAGGAGAAAGCAGGTCGTACCTGAAGGATTTGAACAGCTCAACGAATTCAACAAAACTCATGTTACTGTCTGAAACCATGAAGCTCTGGAAGCCCTGCATTCCACCTTTGACTCGCCCGTGCCAGCTGCTGCTGCTCCAAGCACTGCAACAAAGACGTGGCTTTAGTGGGCAAGGCCCGGGGCTGTGTTTGCCATTGTGCCCCAAGCCTCCTTCTTTGATATGCAAGAGAAGCAAAACAGATGGATGAGAAGTTATTTCCGGGCTCTCTTCCACTTCTCTCAAAATGAAACCCAATCGTGTCAGAAGAGATAGAAATGTGTATGGTGATACCTTTTCATATGTGCAGCCTGTTTAGTAAGGGCACAAAATGAGATGAATATTCTTCCATTCATCAGAAGCTGTCTTTGAAATCACAAGCCAATGGGAGGAACCCTCCTCCCTCAATAGCTTAAGAGAAGAGTCATGGGGGGTGGGGAGGGGGTGGAAGAGTTCCAAAGTGTACAGTCATAACCTACAGAAAATACTGCATGTTCCTTTCTGTATTCACAATTATAGAAACACCTTTGGGAAGAAAGTCTTGAGTGTATCAATCTGTCTTTTCTTTTCCTGCCTCAAGCAGTTCGTGGATGAAAACAAGGAAGGGCTTTTTAATATTAATGGAAAATGTGAGTCAGAAAAATATTAAGAGTGGAAAGCAGCCAACTCTGCCTAGGATTATATTTTGTACCTGCCAAGTCTATATCTACTCAGTATAAAAATATCAGTCAAAACGTCGGTCTAGCTGTTCCACAACAGTTCTTCTTTTCCACACTGCTTCACTGACAGAGTAGTAGCAAGGACACTTTGACCAAGGTTATTAGTTACATCAGCGGACAGGCTCTTTCCTTTTATTCCTGTTTTTGTCTTTAATGTTTTGGGAAATGTTTCAAGCACACAAGAAAGCACAGAGAATATGGTCATGAATGCCCAGTTTGCCCTCAATTCTGTTCACAGTGCTCATTTGTGGAACAATATTTTGTGTTGACATTTGGAGGTCACCTCCATTCAAAACGATAGGTTTAGAGCTCTTCATAGACACATGTTGGTGTGGAGGTCAGGAAGAGGAAAAAGGTCAGATAAAGTGGCTTCATCACTCGAATTTCTACCAATGGACAATTGTCGATTCTAACTCATAGCAAACCTATAGGGCCGAGTAGAACGGACTCATGGAGCTTTTAAGCATAATGCCACATCTTTCTCCCTTGGAGCTGCTGATGCGTGTGGAGTGCTGACCTCTCAGTGAGATTAAAAAGAGCCCTGAGGTCACAGGAGGTAAGCACTTGGCTGCTAACAGAAAGGCCAGCAGTTTAAATCGACCCAGCAGCAAAGTGGAAGAAAGGCCTGGTGATCTGCTCCCAAAAGCCACTGATGATTTGAACTGCTGACCTTGCAGTTAGCAGTCCAATATTAGCCTACTGCACCACCAGGGCACCTTGTAGGAGAAAGTAGGAGTATCAAGTTAGGGCATTTGAATGTTCCTGAAATGTGAATTTAATTATACACTAAGTTTAGAGCGGTCTTTCCATTGACAACAACAGAACTCGCCCTTGCACATGATGGGAGGGTTCCTCTGTTTTTATCATGTTAAGGCCCCACCTGGACGGGCTCTTGTTTGAAGAAGACAGCACAGGGGAGGACACTGGCCTGATGGGAGATGATGTCCCGGCAGCCAAGTTCGGAGGCCCAGCTGTGGTCAAAGAGTGGGCTCTTCTGGATGGGAGAGGGTGAGGAGGGCTGGTGATGGCATTTGCCTCTGTGAGGGTGAAAGGAAGGCAATGACTCATTATCTTTTCCTTCAGTAATCAGGTGAAAAACAAAAGACGCCTTTAAATATCTAAGCAACCAACCTTTGCAGCCAATTCCAATACAACAGGCATCAAGATATCTTGATTAATGGACTAATCAGGTGGGTTCGCCACCTGGTTACCCACTTAAAAATAGATAGAGATTTCTAGGTTGCAGCCACTAAGACTCTGATTCAATTGGTCTGGAGTGTGACCAGGTATAGGCAGATACATGAAAAAATTAAACAACTTTATGAAAATAAACATAGCCAAAGATACAGCACTTTTCCCTCCAATTTCCACATATACAAGTCAGTGACGTTGACCGCGTGCTTCAAGTTGCGCTACCTCTTCCAGTGATTCTACCGCCACGATCCTAAACTTCCCAGCCAGCCTGTGGAGTTGTAATGGTCAATTTGGTCTCTCAAAAGCAGATGTGAACGGACTTTCCTAATAAGATAAACTATGTTTTGCTTCAAGAAGACTTCAAGGAGTAGCTTTGGTTTAGAAAGTTTAAAGCTCAAAGATTATTCAGTTATCTCTTTTGACAAGTGCTGATATCCAGACAAAGTGGAGAGTCCCTGATCTAATTCATAAAATCTGTGCAGAGCACCTCCCTCTTCAGCAGGAACAAGTTCGACAAGGAGAACCCTCTGCCAAGGACGCGAGGCTTACCAAAAACACCTCTTGTATTTCACACCCAGGTCAAGGCAATAAAGAGTTTACAACAGGCGGCTTCAAAGAGTGCAGGGGAAAATTCTGTGATCTTCTCATTCCACTTTTCCAGTTTTCTAAAGGCCCCTTGTACACTCAATAAGATGAATGAGTTTTGTTACAAGTGACCACAATACTTAAATCGTAATTTAAAACCAAATGCAGGCTCCCCACCCCAAAAGTAAACCCCCCCCCCAAAAAAAACCCCCAAACAAATAAAAACCCGGATCTCAGAAGTGAAAATGCTGTTTTACCGGATTCCTCTTGTTCGTTAATCTCTTGAGGGTCAGAACCACTCCGACTTCGACACTCTTTGTACGTTTTGGCCTTTCGGGCCACCATCTCGTCGTCGGTTGCTTCTCCACTCTCACCCTGAAAACAGAAAGTGCTCATTGTTCCTGTCTCTCCATCACTGCCCAAGTTGAAGTCCATCTGAACTTCCAGCCCGACTCACAGTCAACATTACCCTCACCCCCACGGTGAAACCAGGAGAGGCCTACATGAAGTCTGATGACGTGTCTCATGTTACAGTGTCCCCCTCGTTCTTCACTGTAAGATCGTAATCCTCAGCAGAGGGAGGCAGAGCCGGGAGGGACAGAACCTCTGTGTCCCGACTGGATTGTGAACGGGAAAAGCTCAGCTCATCATTAACAACTTCCCATCGGCAAAGGATGAGACGCTTTCTAGGTAACCACGAAGCAAAACCACATCACTTTATTTGGGCTAATGTGGTCATATATACATTGTAAGTTGCTTTCTCTATAGAGCAATTGGCCCACTCCCAAACCCATCACCAGGGAGTGGATTCAGATTCATTAGGATGCTGTATAAAGGTGGCTGAGGGTGTACATCATGACAGTAGTGGATGGCCTCATCGTCTCCTGAACAGTGGCTGGTGACTGGGAGGTGACGACCTTGGGGTTAGCTGAAGCGTAATTGGGTCCCCTTGACCTTTTCACTAGTCTTCCTTGCCCACAACAGGGCCCATTCTTCCACCACCTTGAACCATGCCCATGTCCCTGAACAGTCAAACTGTTCATGCCTCCATGCTATCTCTTCTGCTGGGGATGCTACCCGAGTCTTGCTCGCCTCGTAAACTCCGATACATCCTTTGAGACACATCAATCAACTTCCCAGTGAAGGCTTCCCTGCCTGCCTCTAACTCTTTTCTGTTCCTTCTCACTGCTCCCATTTGCTTCGTAGACAGATTCAACCCTGACTCCCATTTAGATCTCGCTGTATTTGTTTCCATGTCTGCACATCTTGATGGGTCCCCCTTTTGCCTTGAGTTGATTCTGTTCCTAGCACTGGGCCCAACACCAAGGAAATACTTGGTAAGCTCTTACATGTCATTTGTTTCACACCCAGTCTTGTTCTCTAACCCAAATGACCGAGAGTGGCTTAAGCACACTCAGACCAAACAAACCCAACCCCCCAAATCCACTGCCATTGATCATTCTCACTCAGAACAACCCTGCCGGACAGACTCGAACTTCCCCACAGTGCTTCTAAGGCTGTGAACCCTTACAGGAGCAGACTGCCACAGCTCTCTCTGGAGTCTCACGCATAATAAGCACGGAATACTCTACCCTCATGAGAATTTTCTTCTTTTTCTTGGTGGCGCTTATGCCCAGCGTGTTGTTTCTCTGCATGTTGGGCTTCTCAGTGCTCTTGGCTGATGTCCCAGGGCTGGGGTTTCGAGTACTCCATCGTCTGCCTCCAAACAGCTCCACAGCATGAGCCAAAGTTGGGCCTTCATAGCGTCCGTCCTCCTGCAAGAGAACCACATGGCAAACACACCAGGGAGCAGCAAGTCATGGAGAAAGAAATACATGCGTGGCTTCCAGTAAATCCCCAGAGGTGGGACAGTACAGGCAGCCACAGAAGATGAATGGTCAGGCCACCCAGTGGCTCTGTTTTCTAACCCTTGGGGCTTTTTGTTGGAAAATCCATCAGAGCCCTGTTGTCTTGGTCACATCCCTGCTGACTTCTAATGACATACTTTCACGGGGCCACATTCAATCGTGATGAGGAACACGTCTCCTGCCTCATTTCAGAGGTTTTGTTCCAGAACTTCATTGTAACAGAACTCAATAAGATTTTGCAAATTAGAGCTTTGGAGGAGCTGGTGTGTGTGTGGCCATTTACATAAAATCAAGTTCAATTCTTCTGTTCCTGCATCGCTGCGGGTAGATTTTCACTTAACTCAGACGGTCTGATTTAAAGTATAGGGATGGGGCATATGTGAAATTCATCTTGGAGGACGCTGGGGACCATCTTAAATACTTCAGCTGTCAGCCTCTAGCGTGGGGAAACCCAAGGGCAGAAAGCCCACGGGACTCAGAACACGCACAGGATGACTGTGGAAAACGAAAGCAGAGCCAAGGGTTCGGCAACAGTTTAGCTGCTTCTCACTTGGCACCTCTGTGCAACATGCTTTCAGTGCACAGCGGCTAGAATTTAGTAATGAAACAATGGATAAAGATCCCCCATAGACTTGGAAAGTCACTTGGTAAAGCCACAAGTTGCATACAAATGAAATATAATATCAAGGAAACCTCATATGTATAAAACAGGCCTACTTTCCACGCAGTGTTTTAATTATCAGGACCCCTGGTGGTGTAGTGGTTATTATGTAGTGCGCTGCTAACTGCAAGTTCGGCAGTTTGAAACCACCAGGCATAAAGTAGAAAGACGGAGCTCTCAACACCTGTAAAGAGTTAATCGTGGAAACCCAAAGGGACACAGCTCTACCCTATCATAAAGGGTCACTCTGAGTGGACCTTCACTCAACAGCAGTGAGTTTGGATTGTCTTAATTGGTCTTAACTCTCTGAAAAGCTCTAAGGGTATTTCTCTGTGGCAGTTTCAATGAAGTGATTATACATTTATTTTGTTTTATTACCAACAATATGCAAATAATAATAGGCTCTCTCTCTCTTTTTTAATGTGTGCTTGATCCTTTATGCTGAAAGCCTTTCTGATTTTATGAATTGGAATTGTGAACTCCCATTTCCTGGACCCTGTTCCGGATCCCAGGAGGTCTATTACGACAATACATAAGAGTCAACCCCATGACCTCCCCTGATTTGGCTGTTCTAAAGTCAGAAAGCTCCAACAGAGGCCAATTTTTATGCTTGCTCAAGAGAAACAAACAAACAAACAAACAAACAAACCTGTAACAGATTTTATTATTTTACTTTGATTTTAAGGTCTTCTTTCTTTTGGAAGTAAACACGCACATAAAGAAATTCCTGCTCAAAATCATTTCTGCCATTGGCTTTTCTTTCATCCCAAACTGCTAATCTTTTCTTTCCTGCCCAGGTTTTCTAAATTTGCATCTGGGAAGGACTGGCTGCAGGTGGGTGGAGGCCAGAGGTTGTCTTGTGACCAGATACCAATTGATCTTAGTTCAGGGGACGACAGGGTTCAGCCAATCTTTTTATGGGTAGCTAATGGTCAATCTTCTAGCTCCTCTTTCTAACGTTCACTCTGACAAGCACATTTCAAGCCACTTGCTCGTCTCTGGAACTCGACATGGTTCCAGAATAATCTTATCTTTCAATTTCTTTGAGTTTTGATGACGTCTTCTTTTGTAGAGTACATGCAGCCAAACATACACCGATTAACAGTTTCCACATGTACAGCTCAGTGACCTTGATGATGACCTTTGAGTTGGGCAATCATTCTCACCCTCCTTTTCATGAACTCGCTGACCCCCACATGCCTGTCTAATCTTTTGAGTTGCTGCTATCATTTTGTAGTTCGTAAGAATTTTGATTCGGCCGGATGCTTTTTTTGTAAAGTCATGAACGTCGGTATACTGGGATTAAAATGTATTTTGTATTTTTTTTTTGCTTTAGAGCACTGTAAGACCTGGGGTGAGCGAAAGATATGCCTTGAATCATTGTGCGTAAAGGCACATTCTCAGTTTTAGAAGAGTTCACTGGGAGGTTGAAGTTGGGAAATTAATTCTCTAAAATATCCATGCACTTTGCCTTTGACAAATCTTTATATGTGACATTTTGAAGACTATATTGATATATGATCCACCAATCAACAGCCTTTGAATAAATCTTTTTTTTTTTAAGTTAAGCCAGAATCAGTGTCTTTTGTTTACAACATTCTCTACTCTTTCCAAAGATGGGGTTTCTGCTTTACACATAACTTAAAGCTAAAACGCAGGATACCCATCTTTCCTCTTCATCATCTGGCCCTGCTGACCTCCCTGCCCTCTTCTCCTCGTTGCGCCAGCAATACCAGTGGTTCTCAACCTTCCTAATGCCACGACCCTTTAATACAGCTCATGTTGTGGTGACCCCCCAACCAAAAATTATTTTCATTGCTAGCATACTGTCTTGAATGTTCAATCCTAGGTTTCACTACAAATGTTACTACTTCTTCTTTTTGGTTGTATCTTCCAATGCTGTTTCCATCAGATCAATTTACTTGTCGTTGTTAGTAGGAGCCATCGAGCCAGTTCAGATTCAGAGCAACCCTGTGCACAACAGAATGAAACACGGTCTGGTCCTGCTCCATCCTCACAATTGCTCTTATGTTTGAGCGCATTGTTGCAGCTACTGTGTCGATCCATCTTGTTGATCACTGATGGTGGAGATATTTATTGAAGGTTCTAGGCAAAGACAGACTTGGAAGAAGTACCTGGTCATCGATGAAAAACAAACATAGGAGTGAAACCCTTGTGACTAGCAGTAGAACGCTGTCTGATATGGGGCTGGAGGATGAGTCCCTTACGTTGGAAGACCCTCACACTACAACGGGGGAAGCGTTACCTCTTCAAAGTGGATTTGATCTTCATGACCCAGATGGAGGCAATCTTTCAGAACCTTCCTTTGCAGATATAGCATGACTCAAATGGATGAGAAACAACTATTAATATCCATTAATATTTGGAACATGGAATGTATAAAGGGCGAATCTAGGAAATTTGGAAGTTGTAAGAAAATGAAATGGAATACATAAAGATCAAGGTCCTGTATTTTAATGAGCTGAAATAGGGTCGACATTGCCATTTTGAATTGGATAATTATATGGTTACAATGCCAGGAATCATACATAGAAGGGAAATGGTGTTACATTCATTGTCAAAAAGCACATGTCAAGATCTCTCTTGAAGTGATAGGATCATACCCACACACCTGTGGGACCAGTTAATAGGACTATTACTGAAATCTACATGCCAACGTGAAGGCCAAAGATAAACAAATAAAAAAACCCCATTATCTTTCAATGCAATTGTTCCATGAACTTTTTGGAGACTCTTCATATCCTTCCAGTGTACTTATTCGATGTGAATGCCAGCAAATCATCCAAGAAGCTGGACTAGATGAAGAAGAATATGTCATGAGAACTGGATGAAGCTTCATTAATGGCCTTCATGATGCAGGTGACACAGTCTTGCTTACTAAAAGTGAAGAAGATTTAAAGCACTTGCTAAGGAAAATCAAACACCGTAGTCTTCAGTATGAAGTCCACCTCAATAGAAAGAGAATATGTATTCTGACAGCTGGACCGCAAAGCAACATCATGAGAAATGTCAAGGATTTCATTTTGCCTTTGGATCCACAATCAATGCCTTCGGAAGCAGCAGTCAAGAAATCAAACGATGCACTGCACTGGGCAATCTGCTGCAAAAGACCTCTACAGTCTTAGAAAGCAAAGACGTCACCAGGAGCAAGAAGCTGTGTTTTACCAAGCCCTGGTGTTTGCACCTCTCTGGACGGCACGTGAAAGGTGGGTGATGAATACGATGGGAATGACGTCTTTGAATGAGCACATCGGCAAAGATACTGAGTACATCACGGCGTGCCAGAAGAACGAGCCATCTTGTCTTGGCAGAAGGATAGCCAGAATATTCCTTGGAGCCAGGATGGCCAAACTTTGTCTCAAGTACTTTGAACATGTTATCAAGAGGGACCATCCTTGAAGAATAACATCATATTTGGGAAAGTAGAGGGACAGCGAAAAAGGGGTGGACCCTCAGTGATCTGATGTGAGACAGTGGCTGCCACAGCAGGTCAAAGGTAGACAGATGGTAAGGCTGGTTCAGGATTGGGCAGCGTTCACTCCTGTTGTACACAGCGCTGCGATGAGTCGAAACCAACGTGATGACCACTAACAACAGCACTGACGTAGTTGTGTTTGAAAGGACCTTCCGGTACATTCACCTCATGAAAGATTTGTATGTTGGAAAGATCATTTTTATATCAACATTTCACAAGTTGGGGATTAATAAACAACTCCTATAGGGCTGTTGATAGAAGTTTGGAAGAACACAAAAGGCTTTTCGAGAATTTCTTTAGGTTGGAGACAAACTGAAAGAGGCTTCCTTTGTACTGCCAGATTTCGCAGAGCCTTTAATAAGCCAACTTGACTTAGAAACCACCCAGAAGGGTAATTCGTGCGCCTGTGTGACCTTTTCTTCCCGGAGCCCCACATGTGTCTTTTTGATGCTCCTGGGCTATTGGATGAGAAAAAGATCCGTTTTTTTGAGATTCCCTCTCAAGGCAAGTTTCCTAAATAAATGGCACTCTTTTGGTGTGTGGACGAGCATCACTTAGACTTTCAGAAGGCGTGAGGTGCATCCTGGGCTCCTCTACCAGGAGCGGGGTGGTCAACTGCTGTAGCTATGCCTGCAGCTGGGTAGGACTTTGTGGCATGAATTAAAAAGTCGTGCTCCCCCTCCCCCATCAGGACAGAAAAGAAAGGAAAGTGACACTGAAGATCTTGCTACAATGTATTTGATGAGGACACCTCAGCAGTCATCCGGTGGTGGCGCCCTTCCCACTTCATACGCTTCCCAGTGCCCCTTTTCACGTCCCCATCAGCATGGCCCTGTCCACCAGGAAGTGTGAAGAGATCTGCGAAGGTAGAGTCAACGGGTAGCTCCTTCCCTCAAGCAGATGACTATGAGAAACTACCTTCTAAGGGTGCCCGGCTATTCAGAACGATTTAGGAAAGACCTACTATTTGGGGAAAAGTGTCTTTTAACCTTAGGAACACTATAATTAGGCAGAAATACACAATAAGTTCAATAACTCCCCAAGAATCACGCTGGATGTTACTTGATGAATCAGGATTTCTGTTTCCAAAGAGAAGGTTCTCAATGTATCAGCTAGTCGTGAATGAATAATGAAAACATTCAGTTGATCATGCATCCTTGTGGAAACCTTGATTACGTCCAAATGTTTTTAAGAATGGCCTTCTTCATGTACATATGTAAATATATTTATATAGGATGGTGGGGAAATAGATCTACGTGCATATAGTTATAGGTTTAGTATTAAGGCAGCAGATGGACATTGGACCTCCACTCAAGTACTTACTCAATGCAAGAACACGTTGTTCTATTAAATTGGCATTCCATGATGCACACCTTCCCGGCACAATCACTGAAGACAAAGCGGGTGCATAAGCAAATGTGGTGA